TTTCCATGATTAAAGTAGGTTGATCCGAGCTGATTTGACTGAGTTGCAGTCAAAGAGAGATTACATCACTCTGGACATAAAGCACGCTCGATGTAGCTCAACCGATGTAATCTTGTGTGAGCGTAACTCAACCAAATCAGCTCGGATCAACCTACTTTAATCATGGAAATGAATGTCTAGAGCAGGAGCATCGTCCACCTACAATAGAATGCACAAAAGTTGGGAATGCACAAAAGTGGCTATTAGCTGCCAATGTATGACATAAAAGTGAGGGTTGCGTACCTGTCATGCATTGTCCCTGAAGTCCTGACTTTTTAGCTGAGTTACCCAAAGAGGTCCTTCTGCATCTTTGGCTCTGCCAGGGTCCACCTACTTGATAATGAACAAAGACCACTTGTCATATAGCATCACGCTTACAAACATAAAGACGCCTGTATCTCCGAACTTTACAATGAAACGTGGGGTTTTTATTAGAGCAATGTGCTCGGCTTGGCCAACAGCACCTTGTGTGAAAGTTTCACGTTCAATGTCGCAACTAGCCCAAAAAATATTTTTTGGTCGTCGTCGTCGTCGTCGTCGAAGAGGTCGACCCCCAGATCCAGTTTGGCTGGTGGCGACATTGCGAAATCTGGGATTAGCCACGATGAACTTGAAACTGGCACCCAAGGTGCAGTTGGCCAAGCCGAGCACATTGCTCTAATAAAAACCCCACGTTTCATTGTAAAGTTCGGAGATACAGGCGCCTTTATGTTTTACATATGATGTAAGCGTGATGGAGTTGCTTTTTCCTAGTGGATGGTGTCGGCTGCATTAACGGAAAGATGAAGAGCTGAGTGAAACCGCACGTGGTGGTTACACAAACGCGTCCTTGACAGGTTGCTACACAAATGGATGATGATGATGATTGCCTTCTGTGAAGGTACGTAAGTAAAACAGCATCCAACCATGAATGTGTGTCAAGGTATGTATCACATTTGCATGTAGGAGAAGGTCGAGCTGCATAAACCAATTTGTATATGTAAAAGATACGTATACATATTGAATGAGTCACTCATCCTGAAACTCAATGGAGGGATCTCTTCACTTTTTCTCTTCTCAAGCTCATCGCACTTCCCACTCCTCCTTATTGTATCACAAAAGCCATGTACTTCTTGCATGACCGATAACCGGACCACCTTTATTATTCCATCTTCGAAGCAATAGTATGTAATCCACAAGCTACCAACCTCCAACAAGCGTGAAATAATTAAACAATGCTTTATTTCATCTAGCTATCTTGCTATGTACTGTACATTGCCACCACCATCGTTGTAGTCGTCCTCCGTCATCATTCCTACTCCTACTCGTCACCAGTCGTCAGTCTCATCCGTCACCCCAATATCCAAAAACACACAAGTTGAAAAGAATGGGATCTTGCAGGCTTCCTTTTGAATCTCGTTGTCGTCATCGTTGTCATTGTTGTAGATGAGGTGATCATCGTAATCGTCATTGTTGTGAATGTGGTGATCATCGTAATCGTCGTCTCTATAAATAAGAAAGCAGGCAACGGAATGATGACGATTTGGTATACCGTTAGGCGATCCTCTCAAAGGAAGAAAGCAAATCAGAAGGAGTTCACAAACCAAATCACCACCATACGAGCAACGTCGGGCGATCCCTTGTTCTTGAGAAGGCACTGCACGAATCACGCAAGGCCAGTTCGATCCATGGCAAGGAAAAACATCACTTACGTAGAGTCCAGGCTCATAGTTGTCCTCATTCATCCTCCCCAAAGAAAGAATGATCCCCAATCCTTCCAATCATTTCCCACCTCATGAAAAGAAATCCTCAAGGGAAAGAACGAGCCTATCACGAGAAGAGTGTGTTGGTTAAACACATTCACAAGCTGTTGCAAATCCCCTTTTACCTCAACACGGTGACCATGCTCTTCCAAAAACCCATCGTCATCGACCCATCAACTCAAACGCAGGCCTATAGAGCCCTGGATGCGATTCCAGTAACTGACTACTTGATACAGGCTGAGAGTCGAACACAAAGAGATGATGATGCCCCAAGTTGTGTTGCGTGAACAAGGAAACCTATACAATTCATTATTAGCACACACACAATAAACACCCTTTTCATTGTTTGTTTCATTGTACTTGCCTTTTCCATATACTCAAAGACCCGTTGTTGTTGGTTACTGGAAACCGAAAACCATGGTGTAGTGTAGTTAAGCCGAAACAAAACGCCAAACCAACCAACGTCTTGAAACCGAACTTGCCCTCTATACAAGCTGACGCGTCAATGGAACCAATTCGGCTGCAACATTGGACTCTGAATGTACCTGTTGACACCAAGCGTAGAGCGGGAATAGCAACGTGCAAAAGGAAGCAACAATATCGCCATGGCAACCACCAACCACCAACCACGCTCATTCCTCAGCACTTGGACACACTCACTCCCTGACAATGCATGTTCAGAACTACATTAACACCTCGCAGCCAACAAGAGCACTCTTCTATAATACATTACCTTGATCGAGATGTCGCGAATGGAATAAGGAAAGGTGGGAGAAAAAGAAGAGAAGCGTTGTCTTGCTGTCCCCCAAGTTTAAATCCCCCTACTGCTATTACACTGAGGCCATTCAATGACCCCACACACACAACTCACCCATCACCACCATGATCATCCTCATGATAGACAATAGGTACACGTAAATAAAAGAAATGATGATCCTCAAGTATAGCAAAAGGGTGTGTGCCATTTTACACTTTACATGATAATGATGATCCAACAACAGCCATTACCTTACTACCAGGTTAGCTCAAATCAAGGAAGTTAAATCATGGGAATGATGGATTAGAGCAGGAGAATATTTCACATGCATTAGATTGGGAAACAAAGATGATTGGGAGGAATGGGCTATCAAGTGGCAGTTTACGTATAACTAACCAGATAAAATTTTCTGATATTGGATGATGTTTCTGTGTTTGAGCATTTTTCAGTCAAATCCTCTCGGATCAAGAAACTTGAATGATGGGCATGCTAGGCTGGAGCAGGAGAATCGTTCACATGCATTGGATTGGTCAACAATGGAGAATGGGTGGTGTGGGTTATTAGCTGGCATTTATGAACTATTCCTAAATGGTGTACAAGTATCATGCATCGCCTGTGCTGACTGACTCAAGTTACACAACACGTCCCTCTGCATCTTTGGCTCTATCAGGGCCTAGCTATTTGGCATTGAACAAAGACCACTTGTCATATAGCATCATGCACACAACATAAAGACGCCCATATCTAGCGTATTTTACAATAGCGTGAGATCCTAAACAACTCGTAGTACATGTATGACGGCGTCTATGCCACAAGAATGAAGATAAGTCAAAGACCCACTTTTCATATATACGTATACCAATCGCAATATACCATCAATAAGAAAATCACTGGTACTATCCGATATTGTACAATCAAGGAAATAGTGCATATGCTTTTTATCGATGATGGCTCTTTACAATGACAATCGGGGGTTTACAAGATCTTCATTGTCGATTGACGGGATATAATGGATTGGAGGATAAATGACAAAACGACTCAGTCTACAAAGAAGCGTTATCTATAACTGCTCCATTAAGATTGAATTGCACGCCTATGTATATCGAATAAAGAGTGTGAATCCAAAAGTAAGCCTCGTGGCATTCCGCATGATGTAATTACCTGGTGATCGATAGGGTGTGCCTTCTTTAGGAAACGCTGCACCTTTCAGGAACGTATGGCTAAAGTTAACTTCGTGCTGGAAATCAAAGATAAACCACGCGTTTTTGAAATTGCAATCCTGCAAGTTGCTGCCTTGAAAGCTTGAACTTGGGTCGATACGATAACCTGAAAAGTCGAGGCCTGTCAAATTCTTTCGCTCCAGCCTAAACACGACGGCACTCTTGCTTGACGTAGGACGCGGGTATCGTTTTTCAAGGTCGGCTATGTAGTAATAATGGTTGTCAGCCTTAAAGAAAATCATAAAGGAGTCGACATTCACCTTGAGTGATGACCGGTAAATCCATCCAACGTAACTTGAGCAAACCTAATTCATGAATAAGGCCTATGACAAACCCAAGGATCGATATAAGATTCACATACCATGGATACGATAATATTGTGCTTCTTGCATAAGCTCGTCCATACTATGGAGAAATACAACGATTGCCCATGAGTTCCCTTGTCGTAGTCACCCCCTTCTTGGTCGCTGATGTCTTACACTCGAGGATCTTCTCGCACGCTTTTAGGAATCTAGTGCAAGTTACTATGAGTATTGATACCTGAATATCGGTTGTGGTATCGGTCTTACCTTGAGATCTCGTAAATAGTTGAGCACTAATTTGAAGTATGTGCTATCTCGATCGATAAAGTAAGCACCATCAGCATCAGGGCGCTGATCTAAAGATAAATGTCAGCTTGCGTGTATGATTTGAAAAAGTAGGATGCTACCTCGAAACATGTTGGCTAGCAACGAGTTGGGATCCTTTTTGAGAGTGGTGAAAGAGGTGACAAAGAGTGTACCACCGACATTGAGCTTGATCTTTTCAGTTTGCATTCGGCGAATGTCGTTCATCAGTTCTTTTTCATGCTCGTACTTTTTCTTGTCAGTCTCCAAACGCGTTTGTCGTTCCATCAATTCATTCCACACATCATGGTGTGCACCTGCAACTCGGCTATGGAATTCCTTGTTGCTTCTTTCATACCACTCTTCAAGGCCTTGTAACTCCTTTAGCTGTTTCATGATCCCTTGATGCAATGCTATCAATAAAAATTAGTTTACAGCAATAAGACTATGAACCAATGTTAATCTACCTTCACGTTGTGGTCTGAAGGAGTCGATGATCATGTTCCAGTCGGGTACCTTTCCTATTACATAGCTGTGTTAATACGTAGCTTTGCAAGTATGGACGCTCCATTTACCTTCATAGACCCTAAAGTCGCTTTCTTCCAATGGCTCATCAACGTCAATCTCGGATGCTGTTCTGAATGGTGTCGATATTCTGTGTGGGATTTCCTCCATGGTTGATTCGAAGACGACGCTATCGGAAGCGTTTGAACTTTGAGACGGCACTTGTTCTCCTGGAATATGGCCAGCTGGTGTGCTAAAGTAGGCTTCTGTCATCGATAGCAAACGTTGTGTGTGAAAGAGTGGAAAAAGGAATAAAGAAAAAAGGTGTGCACGGTCAAAGCCTTGTTAGTCTTTTTACCTCATCCGGCTCTGTTTGGTGGACTCATGAACATCAGATGGGATAGCACTGTACCACATATGGAGCGTCACCTGATGTTGTTGGAAACAATGAACATGGAAATGTAAAAACAAGGTTGTTTTATTATTGCTGCAAAACATTGGTACATCTAGGGCATAGTGTATCAGCTTCATGAGCATGATAGTTCCAGCATCGTGGACATTTATGTTGTGATGAAGCCCGAGCTACAATACGGCATGGCGTTTGTTCTATGTAAAAGGTTGTTTGTAAACATGTGAATCTGACATCTCTCCTTGTATCGATTATCATACCTGATCCCAGCTCAGTGCCCTGCTCAAATCGACCAGATATATCGGTGCCAACATCATGCAAGTGTACTCGTGACGTCAAAAATAAGCTGGATAGTTCATCCGGATTCATTGCGTGTATCAGGGATCCTGCAGGCGACTTTCCATCAATGACAAGATCTACGTCGGCTTCCTGAGATGATCGAATCACTCTATGGGACATTATCGTTATTAATTGGTAAGTCATTTCATGCTTTTTTGGTACTCACTTGTCTTGCCGTGCCAATTCCAACACTTGATTTACTTGAGCTTTGAGCTGCTTCAGCACAGACCACTTATTTTCTAGCTCAGCATTGTGCCATTGTGGTTCCTGAAAATCAATATTAATGCCCTGTTCCTTGTCCCTGTATGTCCCCTCTACAACTTACCAATGCAAACCATCCTTGTTTAAATACTGATGTCTCAGGTTGAGGTGTCATTGCTTTGTAATTTTCATAAATCTCTTCGGCTGTATGGCATGCAAAGGGTGCAAATGAGGATGTGTAGGCGCGGAGAACATGGTAGAGCACCGTTTGTGCTGATCGCCTTGATGGGGAATTTGGCTGCTCGTTGTACAAGCGATCCTTGATGACATCAAAATAAAATGCGGAAAGGTCGTTGGTTGTGAAGTTTTGTATATGTTGAGTAGCTAAGCAAATTATGCCGTTAGATAAAGAAGCATGATCATGAACAATGCCATACCTCTATTAAATGTATAGTCGTCGTACGCCTGCGTAACTCGCTTGCTGAATTGTACCACCTCATGGAGCATGTATTTGTCAATCTAAACACCGTATTTAGCCCAAATCCTCTGCTTGATATCCTGAAACTCACATCTTTTAGATCACTGTAAGGAACGCAGTCATTGTATGAAAAGTCATGGAGATTGCCAAGTAAGAAACGAGCTGTGGTGCGGATCTTGCGGATGCTGTCAGATACTTGAGCTATCCAAAGAATAGCAGCGATTAGTAAATTCTCGTCCAGGACATCTTTATAGAAGGTACTTACCAATGATGGATGGCCCTAACGAAACATCGCGTGTGTATTCACAGCTAGCGACCCACATACGTAAAACATCGGTTCCATAGGCTGGCCAAAGTTTCTTATCCTACCATCGGGTCACCTCATATCAATACGCAAGAAAATCCAATGATGATCCTAACTCACCTTTCCACCATGGGTAATGACACTAGGCACAATGGTATTTCCAATACTCTTAGACATCTTGCGACCTTGTTCATCAAGAGTGAAGCCGTGTGTAATCAACGTGCCATATGGAGTGTTTCCAGTCACAGCAACTATAATCGCTCTAAGTATAAGCAAGGCAAAAAGAAACACTTGACACTTACTCGAAGTCAATAATGATGACTGAAACCAACCACGATGCTGATCACTGCCCTCAAGATATACGTCGGCCAAAGGCTTGTCCTTGCCATCTCTAATAAAACTATGGATGAGCATAATCATGGATTGGATATCATTGTACGCTTTACCGGCCAGTGTATTCCTTAATCATCGTCCATGAAGTGCCGCTGTCGTACCATACATCCATGGTATCATATCCTCTCTTGTAAACCTTGCCATTGTTGCGATACTCTGGTGCGACAAATATAGTGTCATCCGCTTCTTCCCACCAGCAATCCGTTCCTCGCTCATTGAACACCTTGATGATATGCTCCACCGATGAATCAGTGAGAAGAGGTTCTCCAGTCTCAACATCATAAAGAGCAGGGATAGGAACGCCCCATGCACGTTGACGAGAGATACACCACTCTTTGCGCGATAAAGTGAATTGTTCCAATCGACGAATCGCTATACAAACATTATGTCATTAGCTCTGTGTGAAGCCTTTTCTCTGGGAGAGTATACTTACAAACATCAGGGACCATCTTCACATTCTTCAATGCTTTCACCGCCTCCTTTTGAAGATCTTCAACGTTTGTAAACCATTGAGCAGTGGCTCTAGAGTATACATTCATTGTTATTGGGTGCTCATCCATTGGTGTATCAATTATTACCTTAACATGACAGGTTTCTTTGTACGCCAATCATATGGATACTTGTGCACATAATCACATTGCTTGACCAAAAACGAGCCATTTTCCAATGCTTCAATAACAGCGCTTGCACCTTCACTGAAAGCTTCCTTTCCTGCAAATTGAGGGCCTGCTTCATTTGTATAGAAGCCTTGATCATCCACTATTCCACATAATGTAAATATAACCATCATTGGAGATCCTTGATAATAGCAACTAACATACCAGGGCTGAAAGGTTCGATACCAAGCTTTTGACACACTTCATAATCCTCCATACCATGACCTGGTGCTGTGTGTACGAGACCGGTACCCGAGTCAGCAGTAACGTGATCACCACCAATCAACGGCATTTCAGTCTTCCACAATGGATGCGTGTAACTTGTACCAATGAGATCACTGCCAGACACTTGATCAAGGATTTCAAAAGAGTCTGCTTCAATCTCCTCTGCAAAAGCCTCCACTCGATCAGCGCCAATGATATAAAGATGATTGTTGCCTCCTTGAGCAATGCGTATCAGCGAATAGTTCAAAGCTGGGTTGATTGAAATTGCCTAATACCATTGCATAAGTTATGCAGCTACTTTCATCCCCATACTAGAGTGCTACTAACCTTATTGGCAGGGAGTGTCCAAGGGGTCGTTGTCCAAATGACAGCATGGATGTCACCCATGTTTTTCCATTTTTGTTCAAGTGCAGATGCTAATATGAGCAAAAGTGAGTAATGTATATGATATAAACGCAGCTGCTTGTGATCTTACATAAACCCGTGATTGGAAAGCGTACGTGAATTGACCTGGATACATGCTGCTCGTTGTATTCCAACTCTGCTTCAGCCAATGCTGACCTAAAACGTTCCAAATTAGCATGTTGTCCCGGGTTGCTTCGTTCCAATAGACATTACCTTGATGATGGAGACCAATAGACAGGCTTGAGCCGACGATAAATATATCCTAAATGATGACCAAATTTAATCAAAGGCCTTTTGAAGAAGATAATCATGCCATACCTCGCTTGATCATGTCATGGAATACTCTCAGCTGGCGAATCTCATAATCCTTGGCTAAGGTAGAAGGTATACATGTAAGTCGTTACGCCCGAGCGCTGATCCATTGTACGTACTCAATGTTTGATATGGGTTGTTCCAATCGCCAATGACACCCCAGCTCTTGAAATCCTTCTTTTGCTTTTCAATTTCAGACAATGCTCGTTTCTTTGCCAGTTGTCGAATCTCCACTGCAGATAACTTGGTGCCTGATTCCTATCCATGACCATCCCTCGTTAAAAACACATTCTTGTAGAGTCAATGCTCATCCCTCTCCATTGACCACCTTACCCGGATAGCTTCCAGCGCCTTCAACTCGATTGGTAAACCGTGACAATCCCAACCAGGGCGATACCTTCGTTTCATAAGTTCTTCAGGACCTTTGGTCTCCTATATCCCAATTTTTACTTACCATACTTTGTGACCTTGGATCATCTTGTATCGATTGACAATATCCTTCAAAATCTTGTTCAAAGCATGACCTACAATGTTGACATCCACTAAGTTTTGCAATATCACAGCCTATATCTCCATTGCCTTACCCAAATGCACATCGCCATTAGCGTAGGGTGGACCATCATGTAATACAAAGAGCTCCTTTGGGTTGTTTTTGAGCTAGTCGCCAAAAGATGGATGGTGTCAGGAAAACGAGTGATACAAATCATATACGTTAAGAACATGCTTACCTGCCACTCATACAGCTCGCTCGTACACCTATCCTTGAATAAGTGCTCTCGCGATACAGCATTGGCACGAAGAGGGAATGGCGTCTTTGGCAGTAACAGCGTGTCGGTATATGGATTCTTGGGTTTGGCGAGCAATGTAGCTGTAGAACTAAGTGATCGAGTTGTTGCCGATGCCGATCGTGCAGACCCTCGCCATGATCTTGATAACGATGCTCCTAGAGACGCCATGTTTGAGTGAGTGACAGGGCTCAGGGAATGGAAGTAGAAGCGATGTCGGGTTGTAGGGTGTAGCAAAAGTAAACGGAAGATGTGTCTGAGAGAAGAATAACAAACCCGGTCCCTGTTTCATCCACCTATCAAAAGCGATTTCATGCAGCGGTGTCACTTTTTACCACATTGACGTTGTGGAGGTTAATCATGCATGTGAAGTAAATACATTCATATAAATAGTAATGTCAACATCATAGGCTAATGAAATACAAAAGGGATATGAGGGATGGTGAAGGGGTTACAGGACAAAGAAAAAAAAGTACATATACATGCTAATGATAATGATCAGAGATGACAGATTGTTGAATGGTGATAAGAAAGGCAAGAAGAAAGGGTGAAATGAGATATAACAATGACAACGTAAAATCAAAAAAGAAAGGGGGGGTAAAAAGAATGATCATTGAGCATAGATCCCACTAGGATGCCAACCAGGAGCGGCTGTGGTACCTGATGTGGGATTGCTAGTGGTGGATGTGTGCTCGGGTCTCTTGTTGCTATCGGGCCAAAGCCAACTCATGTCATCTGCTGTTGGTGCAAATACATTTTCTGTACGTCGAGAAGGCTGAAACAAGGATGACATGGTAGAAAACGACGAAGGAAATGCGCTGTCGATATATCCACGACGACTGAAAGTGGGCACTGAATGAGAAGGCATTGGATTATTATCCATCAGACGACTCTGTTGAATAGGTGAAAGCGTATTTTGTTCGGATCTACTGGTATAAAAGAGGACAAACGAACAAATGAGAAGGCAAGAAACTAAACTACCCATATCACCCATACCGTAAAATAGTCGATGAAGAAGGAGATATGATACTCGGTTGTAATGTTGGAGATGTATATAACGACGAATGCTGATGCTGACCGACATTGCTTGGTTGATGTTGCCAATTTTGTTGTTGGGCTGCAGCAATGGTTGTTTTATCATTTTGAGAACGACCCCACGATAATCGAATACGAGAAGCACCGATTTGGAAGCCATTCATTTGTTCAATGGCCATTTCAGCCGAGTGTCGTGAAACGTATTGAACAAATCCACAGCCCTTATTAGGTGGGATCTTGACGTAAACAATGTCGCCGTAAGGTGCAAAGTATTGACGCAATTCTTCTTCGCTAATAGGGGTAGCTGATAAACCACCGATGAAGACCGTTGTATTACTAGGATCTGTCGCTTGATGCACGAGAGCTGGTGCCTGAAGAGCCAGCTGATGGTAACGTGCGTTGCTGTTCTTGGGAGTGGCAAGAGATACACGCATGGGCCGGTTACTGCAGTAGACCCCATTCATTTCAATTAAGGCGTTTTGGTGCTCCCTGGGATCGTGAAAGCGGACAAAGCCATATCCTCGTGACATACCCGTGAGCGGGTCGCTCATTACTTTTGCAGAGTGACAAGATGGGTAATGTTGACGGAATAGGCTCTGGGGTCATGGGAATAACCAGATTTTGGGGGGAGAGAGAAGGATTTAGCAAACACAAGAAAAAAGCTGCGGTTGTATAAATGGGATAACTCTTACCAACAACAATGTCTCATCAACGTCTCCGCTCAGATCACCTACAAAAAGACTATATTCCGGTGCACGGTCCTCTCTGGGGTAATTCGCATGAGAGAATTAGTTGCAATGTATCCCCTGATTTTGTTTCTTTACTTTTTTTTACCTACTTTCGGTCATGAATCCCTCCACCTGATGCCCAGTTAAGTCGCAGCGGCTTTTGCATATTATGTACTTTGGCCCCATGGAAAGTAACCAAGGCTCGTTGAGCAGCCAACATGGATTCAAATTCCACAAATGCATAACCAGCACTGATACTTGAAAGATGCTGCATGAGCATTCAAATGATATTGTTACATTTGGTTATAACTTACCCTGTGCGCTTATCTCGGATGACTTTTACAATCACGTTTTCACCCAAAGATGCCCAAAGTTGTCTGATAAAGTTTTCATCCATCCATGCTTCAAGGTCGCCTATCCTATTGTATATGCCGCTTTGTTAGTTGCATGCATGTATGTATTGATACACCGCATATATCCACAGTCGTACCACAAGGTGGATTTGGAGCTATCTGAAACAGCACTAAGCGAAGGCGACAATGATGCGAGATAATCGAATGGATAGTGTTGTTGTTGCTGTTGTTGTTGTTGCTGCTGCTGCTGCTGAACCATTTCTTTTTTCTTGCAAAGATAACAAAGGGGGGAATGGATTGTGCTGGAAAAAGAAAAGGCTACGAGCAGCAAAAGAAAAAAGACAAAGAGGGCGACTTGAAGAGTGAGAGAGAAAAAGAAAAAGAGCGGGAAGAAAAAGAGAAAGAATGAGAGAAAAAGCCAAGCGGGAAAAAAGAGAAGGCGATAAAGCACAAAGCAAAAGAAATCAAAAAAGACGAGGGTCTCGTGCACATCGATGCTACCGTGCGACCTTCTGGGTTTTTCCTTTGCTCGGAGCTGCCCGGTCAGGTAAAGGAATACGATCACTTGCACACACGCTCTCGTTCATTCTTCCCACTTTAGTTTCTTTGTCGTGTGTGTGTGTAAATAGAACATCCATAATTTTGTACCCTTATTTTTATTGTGTCTGGGAAAATGCTCTTTTGCGATAATGCATTATTCTATAGTAGTGGTAGTATCGGATATGCAGATGTTCTCGCCGCTGTTGCCGCATTACAACTATTGTTGTTGCTATTGTTGTCTTGGTGACGATGAATAATAGCAACCTCTTTATCGGTTCAATGTTTTTGTATGTGGCACGTTGACTATTCTATGCATGTAATACATTCGTTGGTGTACAATTCTCCACATCCATCTCTACTTGTGGCGTTTGATGTTGCATTATGTGATCAGGAGATCAAGGCTTTGGCATCTCAAAGACTAGAAGGAGGGGATGTTACACCAACCAGATTATCTTTGTCGTGCCTTGTCAAAGACGAAACACCGCTTCTTCCCTTTTGTTCTCCACACACACACATACCGTACCTCCCTCCGCATTTCTATGAATTCACCAGTAACCGACAACGACCGCATTGCTGCTGCAAGACATGAAGCCGAGATTCTGAAAGAGAAGCTTAAACGAAAGCAAGACGCCTTAAACGATGGCCATTGTGAGTTGACATTTCCCCAAGGGGGTTGCATGTTGTTGATTGCTGATAAGGCTTTCTTGTGTTGTGTAGTATCGGATATTGCTCGTCAACAGCTTGACCCATTACCAAGGATCGTTTTACGTGTACGTCGAGTACTCAAAGGACATCTAGCCAAGGTGTATGCACTTCATTGGGCCAAGGATATTCCACAACTTGTCACGGCATCACAGGATGGCAAATTGCTTGTTTGGGAAGCTTACACCACACACAAGGTCTGTGCTATTCCGTTGCAGTCTTCTTGGGTCATGACATGTGCCCACTCACCCTCTGCCAGTCTTATCGCATCCGGGGGTCTTGATAACATTGTGAGCATACATAACATCAACGCCAAGGAAGGTCCAACACGCCCTGCACGTATCTTGGTGGGTCATTCAGGATTTCTCAGCAGCTGTCGTTTCCTTGATGAGCATCGAATAATCTCGGGGAGTGGCGATGCCTCTTGCGTTTTATGGAATGTCGAAGTGGGTGCAAAGATGGATCAATTTATCGATCATACTGGCGATGTGATGTGGTAAGTCTATCCTAGAATCAATAATGACGAAGGTATTGTATATTCATCATGCATGAAATTCATAGCATTGCGGTGTCACCAACCGATCCCAATATCTTTGCTTCAGGTGGTTGTGACAATACCGTCAAGGTGTGGGACATACGAGAAGCCAATCGAAAGTGCGTGCATACATTTACGGGCCATGAATCCGATATCAATGCAATTGATTTCTTCCCCGATGGACAAGCTATCTCGTCAGGCTCTGATGATTCAACATGCCGACTCTTTGATTTGCGAGCAGCTGAAAGCGAATTGAATGTATACTCTGAAGACAGCATTTTATGTGGTGTGAGTTCGGTCAGCTTTTCCAAATCAGGCCGTGTGCTTTTCGCTGGATACGATGATCATAATTGCCAAGTATGGGATGCACTACGTGGAGAAAGGATTGGTACTTTGAATGCACACGACAATCGAGTATCTTGTCTTGGTGTGTCTTCGGATGGCATGTCATTGTGTACCGGTAGCTGGGATCATTCTTTGAAGGTATTTGGATCATTCTTCTTTATCAAATAGGGAGACGTTGCTAACACTGATTGATGATATAGATCTGGGGTTATTAGTCCTTCCCAATAATAGATACAAATCCACCATGTTTGATATACCATCCCCTTTTTATTACTAGATGGCCATTGTAATTATTAGACACTGTACAAGTTATAATGTAAACTCTATTTTAATGCCAATAGATCTATTCTTTTTTTATTGTTGTCCATTGCTATGTAGTAGTAGACTTGAGCACACCGCTATCAAGAATCTGAGTCCAACTATCTACGCGGTAAACACCCGTATCCCAGTTGTCAAGTCCTTCTTGGATGTCTTTTGAAAAGTCGTTTCGGATGGCGTCCAATAACTTTGTGTTGTTACCCATGACAATGCCGACATCCGCTTTCACTATGATGATGATGGTTAGCTAGGTATTAGGCATTACAGCAGCAATGTACTCACTCATAGGAAGCAAATCACCCATAGAATCACCCACATAAACGGTACGAGTATCAGCTGGTGTTTTGCGTAGAATGGCATCCATCAAATCTTCCTTGTCGACCGAAGTCAATAGCTCATGAGTGATCTCGCCAGTAGCTGTATGATTGTTTTCATAGTAGCGCAAATCATTGGAATAAACATGCTCGAGATCCAAACCAAGTGGACGCAAGAAGCCAAGGATCCAATCCTTCGACCAGTTGACGGATATGATTCTAAAGTTGTCCTTATCCACATGTTGCAATACATCCACCACGCCAGGTCGTAGGTATTGTGATGCGTGTCGTGCGCCTTGCTCATTAATGTATTGACGTGTCAGACCTCTGAATACGCTATATTTCTCGATGCGATCCAACGAAGCTGCTTCTGCTGGTCGAAAGGCACCCAAGCGTTCACGAATAGTTGCATTGGCAGGAATGGAGCTCTTGATGCGATTGTAGTCTTCCATGTAAGCGTCAACAAAGAACGACCAAGACATGTTGCTATGTTGGTGATCGAGGCCAACTTGACCTAGCAATGCCGTTGTGTCCTCATTGGTGATGGTCTCGTCAAAGTCGGTCAAAACGAGCGTGCGTTTGATAGCAGACATACAGCGGGGAACAAGTGCTTGTCGTGCCACAGCCATACATTCAACACTTGCCAATAGCTGACAAAGAGCGACGATCAAGAGTAGAGCGTATTGAATAGGGTTCATATGCAGGTACAGCAAGATGGCGTATTCGATCCACAACCAGGGTCGTCAATGGAACAATAGCAACATGTGTGTGTGTGACACCTGGTGACGTCGCTTGATACAAGAGATGATCGAAAAGATGATGATGATGATCTGATATCAAAGAAGAGGCCATCGATTTGATCCTTATTTCATTGTACTTTATGCCATTGTAGACCACATAGCTAGCTATCTACACCTTTTGTAAGCACTTTGAATGTTTATTGATTTATCCACAACAGCATACATAATAATACTCGGCATAAACATCCGTGACAACCATTTTCTACTTTTACTGCCTTCTTGCCTTTGCTATGCTACCATCACCATGGCAAAACAACGTTGCTATGTACAACCCCAACAACCATTGTTTACATTGATTACCATGCGTTTGTGTTTCAATCCTTTTCAGTTTCAGAATGACGTTGCAAGAAATGTCAAGCTGCTTCCCATCCCGTCCCAAGTAGTTATTGTGTAACATGCTGCGCACTGGTCACTCAAAAGAGCCAAACCTTGTTTCTTCCTCCCATATTCATTCTCTCTTTTACTTCTCCTCCTCCTCCTTCCTTTGACACCCTACACAGACTATGTCCGAGCAAAATGATACCAATGATCACAATGAAGATATGCGAGGACCAAAACGTAAACGACTTGCGCAAGCTTGTGACGTGTGCCGAAGGAAAAAGGTTGGGGTGTTATCTTGAGGGAGACGAGCGTTGCTGAATAAGCTAATGTCCGCGATTCGAATAGATCAAGTGTGATGGGGTGAAACCCATGTGTGGGAATTGTAAAAGAACGGGGCGTGAGTGTACCTATAACCCGAATGTTAAGAAACGAGGACCACGACAGGGATACATGGAAATGTTGGAGAAACGGCTGGATAAAATGGAAAAGATGCTTACTCGCGGACATGAACTGTCGCAGCAGCAGCAACAACAACAACAGCAACAGCAACATTCATCATCAGCAGATTCAACATTGAGTGAAGATGCCAGTAACACGAGAAGTCCTCAGCCCCCTAATAATAACCCGATCATATCACAACAACATCATTGTTCATCATCATCCACTGCAACAGCCAATAACAGTGTCATCAATGAACCCACATCGGCCACCACAGTAGCTTCCTTTTCACCCGCAAACAATGTCAACACCACTTTCCCAACAACAAGTCAACAACAACAACAACAACAATCAACTTCTGTATTACCCTCCACCGACATTGTATTGCATTTGATCCATCTCTTTTTCGAATACATATACAACTATACGCCTATCTTTGATAAAGAAACGCTCATACGCGATGTGCAAGAACAACGATGTCCTGAATTTCTTATTCTCGCCATCATGGCTGTATCGGCAAGGTAGCATCACTCATAATGAAAAAGAAAAATGCCATATCACTCATGCCATTTGCATAGGTATTCAGATCGTAGTGATATTGCCGAAGATCCACCTTGGCATTCGGGAGAAAAATACGCATGCAAAGCCCGTGACATGGTACTTCAAGCCATTGATGCTCCTAGTATGGCTAATGTTCAAGCACTTCACCTTTTGGCATTGCACGAATACGGCTGTGCAAGAGGTCCGAGGTAACTTTTTTTTTCATTCCGATGAGGCTGAAGCCATCATGTTTAACTCACACTTGTAAAGGAGCTGGATGTTATCAGGAATGGCTATTAGGTAGGTATACGTGATGCTACGGGGTGTCAGGATGACCCAAGCTGACAAATCCATGTTTTTATTTACATAGGATGGCGTTGGAAATCGGGTTGAACAGGGAACCCGGATTGGCGTACAAAGATCGACCATTATCGACTGCACAATGGATGCAACATGAGGTACAACGCCAATTATTCTGGAGCATCTTTGCCGTAGATAGGTAAGTTTGAGTCATACATGTATTGTACTATCTTATTATGGGATTGATGACGAATCTTCCTTTTATAGATTTATGAGCGCATCAACGGGTCGACCGCCGATATTACAAGAAGAGGATTGTGAGATATTGTTACCTTGTGATGAGGATGGATGGTGTACACGGAAATTTTACACTGAATCAATCAACAAAGAGCACTATGTCCTTTTCAATGTGTGTCCAATGCAAGGAAGCAATCTCTTGGGAATTTCGACAACAATCAGCTCTGAACCACTTGTTGATGGAAATGGAAACAGGCTTCAACTCAGCTGCATGGCCAACGTGTATCGTGGCGCAGCATTGTTGGGGAGATTGACAGTTTTCATCAACCGTAAATGTCGTCAACGGAAGCTTTTTACACCCGACGGCCCTGGATCAGACTTTGCCCAATTGGATCAAGCCATTGATGAATGGTACAGCAATTTCCCAGCAGAACTTCAATATACACCAGCCAACATGGCTTGCCATAGGCAGCGTTCCATGCCTTGCTTTTGTCGATTTCTATTGGTAATGCAATCCCTTATTGTTCTTTGATACAAGAAAACTCACACATTGTTCTCCACCTACAAATAGCTTCACACATTGCATAATACGATGATTGTCTTGCTACATCGACCCGCTCTTGCACAAATGGATTCATCCAATGCCGACAATGTTCAACCCCATTTACGTGAATGCTATGCAGCCAGCGCTGCTAAATGCATGCGAGCCGTTGCTACGGTGACTGATTTGATCGGCTACATCAAAGAGAACAAAGTCTTAATATCACCATTCTTGACCTATTTGACCTATACGGTGGCTACGATTGTCGTCAACAGCATCTTTTTCGGCAAAGGAGACGATGTCTACAAGTCAAAGAAAGCACTCACCGAGCATTTTTCATTGCTACAGGTACGTGACAACATTGCGTGGATACCCAATTGTTAACATGATGCAGAATTTACGATCGTATTGGGCGATGGCAGACAAGTTATATTTTATGATCCGTGATCTATATGCAATGCATACCAATTTCACACGCCAACAGCAGCAATCAACAATACCAGCAAAACGAACATCGCAACAATCACCAGGGTCATGGCCCCAGTCTACAAACATTGTATCTATGCCATGCCAATCAACCGTAAGGCAGCAAGAATGGACAACATTCACTCCTGAAACTTCTGTTCAACAACAACAACAGCAACCGCCATCTAGTCAACAACCTGTCATGCCAATGGAGACAATGTCATACAACACGACCACTCCAGGGGAGCACACCAATAATGGAACGACGACGACGGATGGATCATTACGGGGGATGTCCTTAGCCGATCTCGCGTTATCAACAGCTGATGGAGCATCCTCTACCAATTGGATCCTTGGTGACAACAGCAAGAATCTTGCAGCCGCTATGCAATTCCTTGGTGGCATGCCTGCCAATAACAGCAATCCTTACTATGCCTCCAACATCCCTTTTACTAGTGCCCCACAACAATGGCCATCATATGATTTTTCAGATCTTCCAACGGACCCCAATTAATCAATGTTATTATGCTTTTCATGTACTACTTTTAGCTGAACTACTACTACTTTGTTTAAATTTGAAAATGAAATCACTTAAACGATCGGCGTATTGACCCATGTATGCCTTCATCTCACTTGAATTCTCCATTGCTTCGTTGTAACACTTGTCGATCCGATCGCTTGCAAGTTCGGTCCACTTTACCAAATCAGAAAGATCCTGTTCTTCGGGGTCCTTAAAAATATCCATCACCTCCTCTTCTGTCATCGGCTCTAGTCGCGGAAGGTTGTCTTTTGCTGTGACCAAGGGTGGTATATTCCATGAAAACGCTGGTTCTATTGAATTAGAGGCCTTAGTGCTTTTTTTCATTCCGCATTGCATGATTTGAGCAGCTTACCATTTTCGTCCAATAAATGATCCAAATCAAGTTGCTTGGTGGTTTGTAGTCGCTTCATAAACTTGTCGAGGACATCAAACCAAATCCAATCCACGTCTTGTTCTCTCGTTTCCTTTTGTTGTTGTCGTCCTTCCATGTATCTCTCTGTCAATCGCCTTGTAGTGCCACTAGGTCGATCATTGCTGCGTGCTCGACGCCAATAGTCAAAGAAGATTTCCACATCAATCTCTGAGAACCTTTCCCTGGGTCGTTTCCTTTGCCCTTCTTCTTGATCGGATGTTGAGTGTTGTCTCTTTGCAAGAATTGTTTGTGGTGTCTCATCAGTGTTTTCTTTTGCTTCGGCACTCGTTGATGAGGATTCTGATGGCTGTGCATTCTCATCTTTGGACGATGAAGCCTCTGCTCGTTGTACGTTCTTGCCTTTTGACGATGAAGCTTCTGATCGTTGTACATTCTTTCCTTTTGACAATGATGACGCTTCTGATCGTTGTATGTTCTTGCCTTTTGACGATGATGATTGTGGATTCTTCTCTTTTGACGATGATGATTGTGGATTCTTCTCTTTTGACGATGATGGTTGTGGATTCTTCTCTTTTGACGATGATGATGATGATGATGGTTGTGGATTCTTGCCTTTTGACGATGATGATGATGATGATGATGATGATGATGCTTTGGAGGTTGACGTATTGTCGTGTGCTTTTGGTCGTGTTGCCTTCTCCTTTCCTGATGTCGCTGTCTTCTGTTTCATGATTGAGGTATATAGAATGTGTAATGCCGTTGAACAATGACAGGGAAGGTGATTCTAAGGTGTGTTGGCAAGAGATTGCGAATGAAGGGAGTTGCTCTTATGTGGGTAGGAACAATATCAAGAAGAGGTGTGTATTAAAGAAAGAGTCTTTCTCCGCTGCCCTTCTTATGCGGCGCACACCCATCCCCTTTAAATTATGATACATACACATGCAAGAACGGTTGTAGATATGCCTCTCATAGTATAGCGATTTATACCTCGATGCAATGATGATGATGGCAGCGTTGATTACCTATTTCCTCTTTCTCTTCTTCTTTCTCAAAAAGACCAACTTAGTGGACTTCCCATTATGCTTGCTATTGTTGAATGAATACAGTTAAGGTGCATTGTGTGTGCCCATTGGTCATTTTCCAGCTACAGTGATATGTATTACATATGCTTCTATGCTACCACAATTGAAAAGAACAGCTATGCTGCAGCTCTCTGATGGACCAAATTGAAAACTAGGAATCTTCATGTGCTAATGATGCGTTCAAGAAGACAATGAATGATGCAACAATGAAGGCAAAGGTATTTATTGTACGAGTACACGTGACAAGAACCATGTTCTAAAAGGATGATTATGCACTATCCACACCTTATTGGGCGAGTCAAACATGAACCAAGACATTTGTTGGATGACATTATCGCCTATCTCTTCTTCCCGCCCCTCACGACGACAACCATGAGTGGATCCGATATCCGTGATATTCTGCAGCTCGGCAAACCTTCAGAATCCTCAGGCATCAAAAAAGCAAAACTACCCACTGAACGACGACCAGGTACCCTCCTTTGACATACTCATACGGATCACCCTTTATTGACAGCATGGACAAACACAGATGGAATCAGTCGTGAACTCTACTCATTGATCGGCAGCGCTCCTTCAGTGGCATTGCTCAAACCAACCTACAAGGCCAAGTTCAACGTTAAAAAGAAGGCAACACCATGGTACGTTACTTACTTGGCAAGACCCCTTCCAATGGCAACACTGGTGGCTCATGTTGGTGTACACTTAGGATGCTCGAGTCGTTTTCAAACAATGCGCGATCGGACAACCTTACATTGCAGCACTGGATCAAGGCAGCTAACGCCAACAAAAGTAGTATGTATGGAAAGCAACATGCATCATTCATTGTCTTACGCTTTACTTGTTAGCATACCCATTTGCATATACCGAGAAGCCTGGTGCCGTGATAGAGTATTCAGATGATGAATATGAGAAGTATTTGGCCGGTATGAAAAGACAGCTTATATGGTAGGGGTGATAGTAATGATTCGTTTGTAGACATCGATCCTGAATGGTCAAAGGAAGAAACGGATTACTTGATGGACCTGTGCAGGAAATACAATATGCGATTCATCATCATCACAGATCGCTATTCATACAAGGATAAGTCACGATCCATGGAGGTATGGTGGAAAAGAGGGGAATGGGTGTGTGTGTGTGTGTGTGTGTGTGTGTGTGACCAGTCACCTGTGAACATTTAGCTAAAAGGGCGACAACCAAACCTTGTTAATAGGATCTCAAGGATCGCTACTATGCTATATGTCGGACACTGGCAAAGGAAAGGGCCTCGGAACGAGATACCGGATATCCGCTTTACCAATATGCATTTGATAAGGCCCGAGAAGTGGAACGTAAGCAAGCATTGGAAACGCTAGCAGGACGCACCAAGGAGCAAATGGATGAAGAAGAAGCGCTACTGGTTGAGATGCGACGTATTGAGCAGAATGAAGCACGACTTGAGCGAGAAAAGGAAAGCGTCATGCATTTGTTGGCACAGCTGCCGGCATCATCTCGTGGTGATACAAATAACACTGCAGCTAATAACAGCTCCCCAGAGCACAGCAAGGTAAGGTTGCACAAAGAAAAAGAGAGATCAGCGTTGTAAAGTAGTTCTTTAGAAACGACGACGATCAGGCATCGAGGATCAATCCAAAAAGTCTCGGCGTGGTTCATCAATAGCGGAAGGTACATTGAATTTGGGGGTGGATGGGTAATGGGGTGATTGTGTGTGCGTGTGTGTGGGAGAGAGAGAGGAGATGAAGGATGGAATGACATGACATTTTGGTACCCCCCAAATGATGGCCACTTATCTTCTTGCATTGTAGCATCAACATTACCCAAGGAAAAGCTTGTACCCGGTGTTCATGTGCAAAGTCAACGATTACCATCAACAAAGGGAGCCATGCATGCAAAGGTGCTCAAAGTAATGGATGAGTTGGGCGTTGGTAAGTTATCATCCCGCAAAATATTGGGTTGGGCGGAGCCTGTTCTGACAGCAAGGTCGCATGATTTACACAGGTCCGCGACCCGTGATGCCGACAGCAGCCGTATGCCATGGTTTTGAACAACTACAAACATCCATTGCTGCCATGTTTGAATTGAAAAAGGTGGTCGATAAGATGGAAATGGAGCATAGAATCGCATCCCATATTGATAAGGTAAAATAACATTCATTTCCCCCTTTCTTCGGTCATCATCCTTGTATTAAGTGACATTTTCTCTTTTAGCTACATAATCAAGAGGCATGATGAGAAATTGAATAAGAGCAAAGACCTGGTCAAGCGGTTATTATCAATGTGTGTGTGTGTGTGTGTATGTGTGTGTATGGGTAATGTGGAAGGGTAAAGTGAGTGGGATCGTCAGCATGAGTGTATACGTAAAAGAGGAGGAGTTGTAAATGAAACAGCCTTTTGGGTTTCTTCTTTTCCTCTCCTCTCTCACCCCACTCTCTCTCATTCTCTCTCTCTATTTCTGTATACCTCTCAGTAACAACAATATCACCCCTCTCTCTCGTCAGGCATCTGGCGTGTTTTCTCTTATACATATCCATATCTTTTATTATTATCCTTTTGCCTGCCCTGTACAAATAAATCAATGCTTGCCAACGACAACCACGCTTCTTCCCACAACCACCAACAGCAACAACCTTCTTCTTCTCCTCCGCCGAAAGCTGTCAACATTGTACGTCCTTCTTCGCCATTCGTCAATGCATCCCATCATCAACGCCCCCATCACGATTCGCCTTTGCTGTCTCGTCCTTCAGTCCTTGGTACCACCAATTTTTTCTCTCTTTACGCGACACAGCATGCACACACATTCGGAAATGGCCCGATATCTTGGCCACAGCATCTACTGCAACGGGCCAGAAGTAGCTCCAATCTATCCAGGAACAGCGCGTTATCTTCAGAAGATGACATTGACAATGATCAAGATCAAATTGATAGCATCGATGGGAACGATGATGACAGCATAGACGACGATGATAGCATTGATGGCATATCCGATAGCAGCAGTATCCATAATGATGATATCAACGACGATCGGCCACGCTCGATAATACCAATGGATGATATCAGCATCAGCAGTAGTAGCAGTAACGAAGATGAAGAAGATGTATCCCCATCGAAAATCGTTGCCAGGATCAAGAATGGTACCATCATGAATGGTCGTGGCGAGTTTTTGAACAAAGGAGGCGATGATGATGAAGACAATGATGATCATGATGGATGGCTGGATGAAGCAAGAGCAAATCGAAAGGTATGGATGATGGAGATGGTAAAAGAGAGAGAGAGAGTGAGGAGATAACAAGATGCATTAGGGCTGAACGCTTCTTTCATTATTGCTAGATAGCCGACTTGGAGATCGAAAAGTCTTCGCTATTGGCAGTCAATACAACGCTTGAAGCTACATTGCGACGACAAGAAGCTCGTATCGCCGAATTGGAGAAGCGTCTTTCAAGGTAAACTAATCACTGAAAGAGAAATTTACCTATACTAATGATAAGAATAGTAATATCCATGATGATCAACCTCCATCACCGGCTCCAGAGAAACCTACTTTTGAAGTGGATGAGGAATTGACTGAAAAGTTGTCGAATGAAGCGGTCGAGAATGATGAGATTTTCCAGCGACTACGACGCACGCTTCAAGGCATGATTGAGAATGCTGAGTCTGCATTGGTTCAAAAAGTCAACATGTCAGCACGTGTGCTAGCAGAGTATGCTCAACAAGAAGAAAATGAAGGTATGCATATACCGGGGATCACGAGTAAAATGTACAAGGCTCTGATATCGATTCTTTAGGAATCGTAAAACGGCTATCAATTCGACGTTCATGGACACCGAGTACCAATACAGCCATTGTGAATCGACAGCATCAGAGACCACCACGCAATACAGCATCATCTAATAAGAAGAAGAATCGGCAGTCATCACCACCCTCCACCTCAGCATCTAATACCCGAACAACACAACCACCGGCTAGACCGGTAATCAATCATACCAAAACATCCATGGCACGAACATTATCAAGGTCATCATCCCCTGCTGTCATGGTTTCACCATCCGCATCACCAACAATATCACGTAATACCCGACCACCAAGTCGAGCTTCATCATTGAGACGATCAATAACACCGCAACAATCCGAGGCATCACCACCACGATGGCGATAGGAATAATAGTTGTTTTGTTATTGTGATCCTTCGATGTATGTATATGCCCTTCTCTCTCCCCCCCCCCAACCTCGTATTTATTTCCTTGCAATTGCTTTTAAAGAAATCATTTATTTGGGTACTGTACTAATGATGCCCTATCGCAATAAGCATATGAATGTATCACATTTATTGAGGAACATGGTTGTCTATCATCATCTTTAATTGCCCGTATCTACTCCATAACCTGATTTCTTCCATGCGGCAAAACCTCCCTTCAAGCTCTTGACATTTTCCTTGTCATAACCCATTCGGATCAATGATTCAGCCGCCATAATGCTACGAAGACCACCAGCACAGTAAAGAACAACAGGATTGCCGGATTCAGGGGTGACCACCTTTTCAACACCGAGCTCCAATACACCTCGAGAGATATTCACAGCACTAGGAATCTTTGACAACATCAGTCAACAACAATTCTACTATCACCTTCATTATACTCTATATGCCCACCTTTCCAAGCTGCTCACACTCGTTGATTTCACGAACGTCAATGATGACAGGCTTCTTGGAATCGGCACTGGTCATTTCAATGTCGAGCTCGTCAGCAGTAATCTCTCGAATGTTCAACGACTCTTTGGTGCCCTTGACCATATCAGTCCACCGGCTAAAGTAGGCGGGTGTCTATTTTGCATGTTTCAAGTCAATCATACTCTGATAAAAAAGGTATGCATAGGGGGGGGAGGATTATTACCGAGGAGAAGGCGCGTCTTTGTACTGCTGCTGCTGCAACCTTGTAGAAGTAACATGGCATGAGTATCAAAATTGGGACAAGGTCAAGGCATTATCTACCTGCTTGGTGATCGAAAACATGGTATCCAAAGAGTGAAAGAAAGGAAACAACTTTCCCACCCTAAAAGTTCCAAACAACCCACAATAGTGTTCCACAGGTCCTTTGTACAACGCGAGCCTTTCAATCCGCATGTTCATTTCAAAAATGGGGTTACGACGCTGATGGATGCTACCTACCTTATTGCGTAGTGATTCAACGAGGACAAAGTAGTGACAATAGACGTATTTCAAATAAAGGTCATCATTGGAGACAATGTTGCTAAACTTGACATTGATACGCTTATCACCCTGCTAATGTGATTCTCGGATGGGACGTTGTTGCTTGTACCTCGTGCTGCCCAAGATTAACAATGGGAGCATCCAAAAAAGTTCAAAGGCTAGTTGTTGGGTAAAAAGACAATTCGATCAGTTGAAGGAATAACTTGTCAGGGAGATTATCGCATGAAAATCACGCTGATGACGATCCATCATGGGTTCTTCACCATAGGCATTATCCTTTTTCCTTCCTTGATGTTAATAGATGGGCTTACAAAAGTATCACTATTCTTCCTGTATACGCTTCTCGATATACATAACCAAAGATGATTGATATCAAAGGATTGTCTTATGCAGCTGATGGATGTTTGTATTCACGTGATCATTGGAAGAAGGCGGTACATGAATCATCAAGGCGAGATCCAAAGTGGGGTGTGATTGGGTGAATCATGTCATGGTAACAAATCAAGGCACCAGCTCTTACTCGGATACGGCCAAGTCAAATTTTCATAACACAGCAGTGTGACCTGGGTGCGTACAAGCATTATCATAAGGTCACAAAAAAGTGACACATGCGTGTCAATGAAATAATAGGATCGACCTTTATTGACCAAAAGCCATCATTTTAGGGATGTAAGCTGAAGTAAGTATTATGAAATGGGTGGTTTTATGTATCGTTCGATGCAAGGCTAGACACAGGTGACATTCTGTACAGTATTCAGGTACTCCTAGTGCAGATCTGTTGTTAGGCGACGAGTCGTGTAACATGAGATACTCCGCACGCGCGGTGAGAGAGGTGGGTGTTTCATTTTATAGGCCTGTTTTTACCTCTGTCCTGTACCTGAGTCCCGCTTCTTCCTGTGTCCAGAACAGCATTGTGCATAGCACTTGAACCATAGCACACAAGGTAAATGCTGGCCCATTGTAATAAACAGTGAAAGCTGACTAGTGGATTGGGATTACTAGAATGGCGGCAGCAAGTTCAGCACTTCAATCTGTAGAAGTCTATACCAAAGGGACCAAGGCTTGGTTTGAAGATAAACTCGAAGCGTGGATCTCTGCAACGTGCATCTCGAATACCAATGATGGCAACAAGGTCACTATTGTGTTTGAAGGAGACAATGACCAAAAGGTATACAAAGGACAAACGCGTTCCTTGCGTGTGTGGGTGTGTGTTGTGTATGGACAAGTGAAGAAGGCTGATACAAGATCATGTATAAAGGAATACGTCTTTGAGTCAACGATCCAAGAGATTGAGAAGAATGGAGGATCCAAGTTGCCACCTTTGAGGAACCCTCCCAAGATGGAGTATACGGATGATTTGACCAACTTGAGTCATCTCAACGAGCCTGCAGGTAAGGGATAGCCCAACCCACCACTCCTTGCTTCCGGTCACCGCTACTGCCCTTCGGAGTCTCATCCCCCGCTTTTAATAGTGTTGAACACCATTCGAACACGATACATGCAGCATCTTATTTATACTTATTCGGGTATCGTCCTTATCGCTGTCAACCCTTTCGATCGAGTGGCCTTGTACGACCCTGATATTGTTCAACAATACTCTGGAAAGCGAAGAGGAGAGCTTGAACCACACTTGTTCGCTATTGCAGAAGATGCTTACAGATGCATGATCCGGGAACAAATGAATCAAACAATCGTTGTTTCAGGTGAAAGGTATGTAAATACGCTACTTAAGGTTTGGAGATATTCATTGATCCTCTCTTCCCAATAGTGGTGCTGGTAAAACCGTGAGCGCCAAGTATATCATGCGTTACTTTGCAACTGCTGATGATCAAGAATCGGTTGGCAAAAAGAAGAAGGCTAGTGGTAGTGGAATGACAGAGGTTGAAGAACAAATCTTGGGTAAGTCTTATCACAAGACGAGGAGCAAAAGGAGGAGGAGGAGAAGGAGGGACATGTGATGCTCATCATCTTGCATGATAGCCACCAATCCGATCATGGAAGCTTTTGGCAACGCCAAGACGACTAGAAACGACAACAGTTCACGGTTCGGCAAATACATCGAGATCCAATTTGATGAAGGTGCCAACATTATCGGTGCAAAGATCAGAACCTATCTTTTGGAACGCTCTCGTTTGATCTTTCAACCACAAACTGAACGCAATTATCACATTTTCTATCAGGTAAGTGAGAGGGAAACGACCCTGCTTGGCTACTAGTCACTAAGTTAGTTATCCTTGAAATAGCTTTGTGCGGGTGCTCCATTGTCAGAAAAGAAGGAATATGAGCTTGGAGATTATACCAACTTCCACTTTTTGAATCAAAGCGGCACCGGCACTATTCCAGGCGTTGATGATGCGGCTGAATTCGAAGTAACACAACGAGCTTTGTCCACGATTGGATTATCGGTTCAGCTTCAATGGAAGATCTTCCGATTATTATCGGCTCTATTACATATCGGCAACATCCAAATTACGGGTCGTGGTGATGCGGTGTTGAGTGAAAGTGATCAAGCTTTGCAAACGGCCTCACGTCTTATGGGTATCAATGCAACCGAATTCAGAAAATGGATCGTACGCAAACAAATCGTCACACGCTCCGAGAAAATCGTCACCAATCTCACACCAGCACAAGCACATGTCGTCAAGGACTCTGTGGCCAAATACGTTTATGCAAACCTTTTCGAGTGGCTCGTCAGCGTTATCAACGACAGCCTTTCTTGCCCTGATCCAGAAAAGATGGCGACCTTTATTGGTGTCCTCGATATTTACGGCTTTGAGCACTTTAAGAAGAATTCATTCGAGCAATTTTGTATCAACTACGCCAATGAAAAGCTGCAACAACAGGTAAGTAAGCCAATGAATCTTCAAAGGCGGATGTATGGCTCATTGGCAACTATATCCTTTTATTATTATAGTTCAATCAACATGTGTTCAAATTGGAGCAAGAGGAATACGTCCGTGAAAAGATCAATTGGAGCTTCATTGAATTCAGCGACAACCAGAAATGTATTGAATTGATCGAAGCCAGACTTGGTATCTTGGCTCTTTTGGACGAGGTAAATATAGGATCGGTTATTAATGCATGCTATATCAATGCTAATTCGTTATATAATTAGGAATCGAGACTTCCTGCAGGATCAGATCAAGGCTTTTGTCAAAAGCTGTATACCAACTTTTCCACCCCAGAGTACAAGAACTATTTCAAGAAGCCTCGATTCTCCAACAATGCCTTCACCATTGCTCACTATGCCCACGACGTGCAATATGAAGCTGAGAGCTTTTTGGACAAGAACAAGGACACTGTGCCAGATGAACATCTTAGCCTTCTTCAAGGCTCGAGCTTTGATTACTTGACCGAGGTGCTTGAAAAAGCCGCTGCCAACAACCCACCACCACCAGTAAGTATCATAAAGAGAGAGAAAAGGGATGAAGGGATACGTTGACTTATGTTTCCCTTTAATTGTTAGACCGAGAACAAGCGCATGAGTATGATGGTTCGAAAGCCAACATTGGGTTCTATCTTTAAGGTAATGAAGGATGGCAATGATCAGCGCATGAGATACCAACAATCCTTGTATACAGCTCTCTCTTATCAATCTCATGGATACGATTGGCCAAACCAATGTGCATTATATCCGTTGTATCAAGCCAAATGAAGCCAAGGTGGCATGGGAATTTGAACCCAACATGGTACTTTCTCAATTGCGTGCTTGTGGTGTCTTGGAGACCATCCGTATCAGTTGTGCTGGATATCCTTCTCGTTGGACTTTTGAGGAATTTGCCGATCGTTATTATGCACTTGTTCCTTCCAAACATTGGGATCATAAGGAGAACCCGGACATGGGACAGCTCTGTACCACCATTCTTGAAGCATCCATCAAGGACAATGACAAGTATCAAGTTGGCATAACCAAAATCTTCTTCCGTGCTGGTCAGGTATGATGGATTTGGATTTATTGATCAAGGGAAACCAACCAACTAATATTACTTGTGATAGCTTGCGTATATGGAAAAGCTACGTTCGGATCGCTTCAATGAGTGCGCTATCCTTGTCCAAAAGAACATTCGCCGCTATGTGTATCGCACACGTTATTTGCGTATGCAACAACTTGCTTTGGGTCTTCAATGCATTGCTCGCCGTAAAGTTGCACAAGCCAAGCTCCAATCATACCGTGAAGAAAGGGCTGCCATTGTTATTCAAACCGAATGGCGAAGATACGTTGCTCGTAAGCAATACCTTGCAACCCGACAATTCATTCTCAAGTTGCAAACAGGTAAATGAAGGTATTTGAGATGGTGAAAGGAACATGGTATTAATCACCCTTTTTCTCTTTCTAGCTATCCGTGGATGTCGAGCACGACGTAATCTTAGCTCAGTCAAGGAGCATATGGCTGCAACCCAAATCCAACGCCTTGTTCGTGGATGGTGAGTGAAAATGATGAAGAGGGGAGATTGGTAGGGTAGTAACTAACATGGGATCACTAGGTCTGCTCGTAAGCAATATCAAGCAAAGCGTCATTTCATCATCAATTTGCAAGCGTGTGTACGCCGCCGAGCTGGTCGAAAGCAGTTGATTGGATTGAGGACCGAAGCACGATCTGCCAACCATTTCAAAGAAGTTTCATACAAGCTTGAGAATAAGATTGTGGAGTTGACACAAACCATCACTGCGCTTAAGGATGAAAAGAAATCGGCCACCGATCGCACAGTACAGCTTGAAGCACAAATTCGCACGTGGAGTGAAAAGTACGACAAGTTGGAAAAGAAATCCAAGGGCTTGGAAGTGAAGTTGCAGGAACCCACTGTGCCTGAGGAGAAATGGATTGAATTGCAAACGGAGCGAGATACGCTTGCAGCTGATTATCGTGAAGCCCAAGAGAAGATCAAAGCGCATCAACGTGAAGTTACCAGCTTGACAGAGCAGCTCAGCGCCCAAAAGAAAGAGAATGAACGCTTGCAAAAGTCGCTTGAGGAAGCACAAGAACGAGCTGATAATGCCGCTGATGAAGGAGAGGTGTCTGAACTCAAGAGTCAAATTGCAGCCCTTAAAGCACAGCTAACCCAAGTGATGCACACGCCTCGTCGACAACAATCCGTTTCTCATACACGCGGTTTATCGCCATCACGCGGCTTATCACCAGCTCCTCTCAATGGCAGCGGTGCACGCAATGCATCATTATCACCTATCAAGCCTCTTGACACCAACACAGTCAAGGAAACCCTCACAGCACCACCTCGTAGCAAGTCGCCTAGTGGAATGCCTATCAACAGACGTGGTCGTCGTAACAGCACCGCTGATATGCCTGTCAACCGCACCAAATCATCTATTGATAATATTCGTCAAGCAGAGCTTTTGACCAAGAATCCTCGACCCACATCGATTCATCATGTTGGCGCATTGCTTGGAAAGACTGGTCTTATGTCTGAGAGTCTTGGTGAACATCCTGAAGAAGAGGTATGTATTATACGTATAGTCATCTATGAAAAATCGTGCGTTAATCATCCATTGCAACAAAAAATAGTTGAGCAAGATTTTGCGTGATGAAGATGGTCTCCAAGAAGAAGTGCTCGAAGGTCTTATCAAGGGTCTCAAAATGCCATTGCCAAGTTTGCAAAATCCATCATCCAAGAAGGAGATCTTTTTCCCTGCCCATATGATCGCCATGTGTGTGTCCGAAATGTGGCATGCTGGCAACATTGCTGAATCCGAGCGTCTCTTGTTTACGGTTATGGATACTATTCAAAAGCAATGCTTGGTATGTAGTCTCTAAAGGATTGATTCAGTAGATCTAATTCATATCCTTCTTCAGAGCTTTACTGGTGAAGAGGCCATTGTTCCTTGCGCGTTTTGGTTATCGAACGTACACGAACTTTTATCGCTGATTTGCATTGCCGAGCATGAGCTAGAACAAGAAATGCATTCAAATGGACATATGGCATCTGGTTGGCATGATTTTGAAAAGTTGGTGGCCACCATCAAGTTTGAATTGCAATGTCTTGAAGATAACATCTTCCATGCTTGGATGAAGGAGCTCAAGAAGCGCATTAGCAAAATGGTCATCCCTGCTATCATTGAAGGACAATCTTTGCCTGGCTTTGTTACATCTGATTCGAACCGCTTCTTTAACAAGTTGTTGACGGGATCATCGCATCCTAGTTTCAGCATGGACGACTTGCTCAACGCACTCAACAAGGTGTATCGATCCCTCAAGTGTTATCACATTGAGCATTCTGTTGCCAATCAAGTTCTTACGGAATTACTCAAGCTTATTGGTGTATCGGCATTCAATGATTTGTTGATGCGAAAGAACTTTTCATCTTGGAAGCGAGGTAACTTGATTCCCACGATGAGCAAAGATTTCATGTAAATGACTAATTCAATCATGTGTGTTACAGCTATGCAGATCCAATACAATATTACCCGCATCGAAGAGTGGTGCAAGAGCCACGAGATACCCGAAGGAACACTTCAACTTGAGCATCTGATGCAGGCTACAAAATTGTTACAATTCAAAAAGGGATCATTGGAAGATATCGAAAATATCTATGATGTCTGCTGGATCTTGTCACCCACACAAATTCAAAAGTTGATCTCCCAATATCAGACAGCTGATTACGAGGTAAGATGCTGCTATCACTAAATCCATGAATGGAGAAGCTCAATGATCCATTTTAGAACCCCATCAAACCCGAAATTCTTGGTGCCGTTGCCTCCCATGTTGTGAGCGGCGACAAGAGCGATGTTCTCTTACTGGATTCCGTATCCATGGATGATACAACCAACCCATTCGAGATCCCTGTGCCCCGTGAACCAGAAGTACAACGTTATTTGCCAGCTTGGGTAAGAACTACTTTGATAGGGGGTGGTATCCATGCATTAAACTAATCCCACATGAATAGCTGAACCTCAAGCGGTTGAGACGTCTCACTTTCCTTGCACAAGCACTACGAGATCAGCAAGCTGCTGTAGAGGCAACAGCCGTTGCAACCCCTTAATTTAAACCCCCATTATTTTTTCTTTTTCATTACCATAAAGCATCCCTTATATCCAGAACAACTTATGTGTGTGTTTATTTCGTCTAACGTGTCATCAATGAAACGCTGGAGGTGGTGGTGATGGGACATCAATGCTCACTTCGCCCATTTGGCACTATGCAAATAATGTTGATGCTCACATCTTATGGCTACTAACAATGTGTCGTACATTAACGGATTGAGTTGTTGCCCTTGCTTAACGCATCCACATCGCCGTTTACATTTCTGCAAAGGACATTCATGTGACGATCATCAACTTATGACAGTTTGAGTACCCTATACAATATGCGCGACCGATGCTCAATTAGGATGCCAAAGTTTTTGATTGTCATTGTAAGAATGAATTACAAAGAAGCATCTATGTTTGTCGGACAAGGATTCCATCAATGCATGATGCGTCTTTGTTCCGCTGGTTCATGAGCTCAACCCCTTTAAGGAACTTGTTTTCGATCATGATTAAAACAATGTTGCTCGCCATCTCATGCAATCTATGGCACCACCCATCCCCGCTTAAGTTGTGTTGCTATGACAATGACGGGAGTTTTCTACGATACATAGCATTTCTGGTTAAAAGACATTTGTCTTTATTTATAAGACTAAACATGCATGATTCAAGGGCTGAGAATATAAAAGTATCAGATCCTACAAATCGCTTGGATACCATCCATTCCTTGGTGATCGGGGAGGAGCATGAGACAATGGGTAGAAAGACGTCATACGAAGATCATCCTTCTCTCTTTCTGGTACTAAGATGGATTGAGAGATTCCCACAAGACAAGGTTGGATCTTGAAAAGGTAAGCAAGCCGTGATGAAACGCAATTCAGCTTACTCAGGTACATTTCCTTTGTGTCAACTCGCGGAGTATCCCTTGTTCTCTTTTCTTTGCTCGGCATACACCAACTTCGACATGACAACTGTGCATATTGAGAACGATCGTGGCGAGACCATTGTGGGCCTTTTCGAACACAGGGACATTGACGCCAATCGAGAGAAGCCTCGCCTCGTGTTAATCGGTCATGGCGTGCAAGGTAACGCTGCGCATGTGAATAGGAGGGATGTGTGTGGCGAAAATGACTTATCTTCTTCTCCCTCTCTCTCTCTCTTTCCAAGGTCACAAGAATTATTTGTTTCAACGCTTGCTTGGAGAAAAACTTCCTTATTCAAGCTTCCGTTTCGACTTTCGTGGCAACGGTGATAGTACAGGCACTGCTGGATATGGCAACATTGCGGTAAAGCATACAACAAGATATACCCCGCACACCATCAAAGGATTCACTTGACTTTATCATTTGGCAGAACGATGTTGAGGATTATCATACTGTCGCCAAGTACTTTGAGGACAAGGGCTATGAGATTTGGGCTGTGGTCGGTCATTCCAGAGGTAAAAGATAATAGCGAGGTCATGGATAATGTACTTATTTACCGCTACAATGTAGGCTCGACGGCTGGATTGAAGTATGCAACCACTTGTCAGAAGCCATTGGCCCATTTCGTCAACGTCTCGGGTCGTTATCAGATGAATGATCCTCAGATATTTAGAAATCGCCCCCACTTTTTCGAGGAATTGGAGAAGAAGGTAATTGTCATGCTGTGTGTGGGAGGATTGGATCAACCTATATACTCAACCATTGAATCCATAATAGGGCTATTTTGAGTGGAAGGCACGACGCCGAGATCAATACATCACCCTTAAAATGACTCGAGAGGATGTTGAAAAGTTCACAAATTGGGATAACTCGCATGGTAAGTAAGGAAGATTGGTTGCTGTATGTACCAGGAAAGGCTCATACTAATGTATGATATGACCTCATCTAGTCGCACGCATGCCGAGAGCGACCTGCATGTTCACGTGTCATGGCCTTGACGATGATGCAAGTATCACAGAACCGAAAAATGGGAACATCCATCAGGTGCTAACTACCTACTATCTTTAGGTTGTCCCGGTCTACAATGCTGCCATGTTTTCCAATATTGTGCCCAATCACACGCTAAAGCTTTTCCCTGGTGCCAATCACAATTTCATCGGCAAGTACGAAGAAGTCGTTCAAGCCATCTTGGAATACTTTGAAGAGCATGAAAAGAACGCTTTTGAAAAAGGTAAGTTACGCATGATCTATATTGGCCTTCAATGATGATTTATGAAACGTACCAGCAAGACGTATGGGTCAAAGCACTGGTTTGGTTATGCCACGATGGATCGATGTGGAAGGTGTCAAGAACTTTAGAGATATTGGTGGATGGCCAGTGAGTGATGGCAAGGGTTATATCCGGGAACGATTTGTCTTTCGATGTGGCCAGTAAGTTTTATGCATTACGAGTATCAAGCGGCTTCTAATGTTATGTACCAAATAGTTTGGTGAATGTTACTCCGAAAGGTGCCGCCGTTTTGCGACAACTCAATGTTGTAGCTGCGTTTGATTTTCGATCCCATCCCGAAATCCAACGGCAAGGTATCATGGCGTAAGTTGTTGGTATCCATTTATGTATACGCCATTAGATATTTATTCCCTGCCTAGTGATGTCCCCGGCTTGACACGATATCCCTCAGCCATTTTCAGTGAAGCTGATTATTCCCCCGCTGCATTGGCATCTCGTTGGCAAGGTTACTTTGAAGGAGCAACTGGATTTCCCAAAGGTCGGTTCTATTTGGATCACACTATCGCTGTATTATGTGTATTGACTGGATGATGTATTGTGCAGTGTATATGGTCATATTGGAGAAAGGCGGGCCCCAATTCCGTAAAATCTTTTTGCACATGCTCGAGAACCATTCTCGTGATTCAACGAAATCATTGATCATCCATTGTACGGCTGGCAAGGATCGCACAGGCGTATTCATCATGCTTTTATTTGGTCTTTGTGGTGTTGACGAGGAAATTATTGCCCGTGAATATGCCATGAGCAATCTTGGTTACTGGGGTTAGTATACATGATATACCAAAACTCGGCATGATGATGTCTTAACATCGTTCATCTTTTAGAACAAGACAGCGAGCTGCAAGCCAAGGCCGATATGCTTAATGTATCCATCGATGATATGCGTTTGGTCATGTCAGCACCGTAAGTCTACGTTTGGTATTGCTCAACTCCTATTCATGCTAACGTTGATTGCTTTCACAGGTACCTGGCAATGAAGGAAACCATTCGCCGCGTCAAGGAAATGCATGGATCAATTGAAGGATATGTCCGAAAGCATTGTGGATTGACAAGTGATCAAATCGAGGCATTGCGAGATCTTTTGATTGTGCGGATCCCCTTTGAAGAACGTCAACTTTTTAGACCCAAGTTTTGAATGCGAAGACTCGGATATAAATTGTTATAGACATGTATGCGTGTCATTGTTTGAAACTGGACAATCATATGGCATGTGATAAAGAAATTAAAAAACTTCCGTGATAAACGTATACATTCTTTTACTTTTGATCGTTTGAGATTGCATATCTTTTCTTTCTTTCGGTACAGTATATGGATCACAGAATCGGATGCATCCATCGACATCAAAAAGACTCCCATTTGGTGTTTCGGCTACCAGAAGTTGTCAATTTGATTGTGCAACATCTTGTCAAAGACTATGATACATCATCGCCATCGAAATCTCTTTTTGATTGGATATACCCATGCCTTTTTGTCAATCGCTTATGGCACGATTGTGCTGCAAGGAACATGTACAGGAACCTCACATTCGGCCAAGGCCAACATGATTTGAATGCGTTTCAAAATTTTGTGTCAATTCTCGGACAGCATACAACGACAGCGCCTTTACAAATGTCTCCTGCTTCCCTCGCCATTGGTAACAAGGACGACATCCCCATGATTGATCCTTACCAAGTTGACAGTAGTCCACCGAGTAATATCAATGAAAATGAGGTGGATGATCCAAGAGTATCGGTTTATCGGCGATCCGTACGACACCTTACATTGTACAAAGTCAAGGATGATTCTGTAACTGATAAATTGACATGTCTCAGCAAGCACGTTCGTCGCCTTGAGCATCTCGAATTATATATATGCGAACCTATCATTGATAGCGCTGTGCAACCTTTTGTGATGGCGGGTCATTTGACTTATCTATCACTGGCTGGTAGCTTTCAAGTAACTGACAAGCTGATTCATGCAGTGGCAAAACATTGTTCACGTTTACAACATCTCGATTTACGTGCATGCAGCGAAATATCAGACGACTCTATCAGCTCTGTAGCACTACACTGCCCAAGCCTTGAGCATCTCAATGTAGGGCGTATCAAGGAAAGACATCGTATCACTTCACGCTCCATCAACTTGATTGCAGAGAATACCAAAGTGCGCGTGTTAGGCTTTGCAGGATGTGATTTGGATGATGAGTGCATGATTCGACTTGCCGTACACCGTAACCGATTTATGGAACGTATCTCAGTCAACAATTGCCATCGATTGAGCAACGCATCCATTCGTGCCTTTGCTAAACATTGTACAAAACTCTCCGTATTTGAGATGAAAGAGTGTCATTTAATCGACGACTGGGATACTGTTGCCCAGCTAGTAGAACGCAAGGTGCTATTAACGTTATGCGAACAACAAAATCGAGCATGTGCACAATGGGCGAAGACGAATGGACGTATTATTCGTGTCAAGGCACCTTACAAATAGAATAGTATACATACACGTTTATTATTGTACATTAGATAAGCATCGAAAACAAAGCCTACTAGGATGATGCACCTCACACACAACCACCAGTGCGGACACTCAATTTGTCTATGGTGCATTCGTAACGCATCTTGAACGCGTGTCCCTCCTGTTACATTTTTTTCCACTTCTTTGCAACACACTATGCATCGCTTTGTAGAGAAGTACTCTTCCTCGCCCTTCCAAATGCCACTGGAAAGTGGTGCCGTCGACATGTGCGGCAAATGGGACGCTGCTCAAGATCTTGCTTTTCCAACATTCGATATTCCTGACGTCCACAACGTATGTTCCTATAAGCACGCATGCACCCTCATTTGCGACTCTAGCCATTATTCACCCCTCATCTCGTACGCTTTTCATATATAGCCCGTCGACTTTTTGAGAAGTGTCACCGATGAAGACTCGCCTGACTACAAGATCAAGATTCAGCATGGCACCACAACGTTGGCTTTCCAGTTCCAGGGCGGTGTCATTGTTGCTGTCGACTCTAGAGCTACCATGGGCAACTATATCGGTAGGATATCATATCAAAGACGATTCGTATTATTGATATCTTACATGTATGTCTTCTTCATCCAGGCTCGCAAACCGTCAAGAAGGTTATTGAAATCAATCCTTATTTACTCGGCACAATGGCTGGTGGTGCTGCAGATTGTCAATACTGGGAACGTGAGTTGGGCCGTCGTTGTCGTCTCTACGAGCTCCGCAACAAGGAGCGTATCTCGGTCGCTGCAGCATCCAAATTGCTTGGTAACATGGTATACTCTTATAAGGGCATGGGTCTTTCTATGGTAAGTATATCAAATGTGTGTGAATGGAATGAATCATGAGGGCTTATTTGTGTTCCTCTTTTTCCTTTAGGGTACCATGATCACTGGTTGGGATAAAACCGTAAGTGCTTGAGAATAGGGTTCAGTGTGTATGTGTGTTCTCATACGCTTCCTTTCTTTTAGGGTCCAAATCTCTTTTACGTGGATTCAGATGGTCAGCGATTGAAGGGTGATTTATTCTCAGTTGGATCTGGTTCTACATTTGCATACGGTGTACTTGACAGTGGTTACGATTTTGATTTATCCGTTTCTGATGCTCTTGAACTTGGCAAGCGATCAATCTACCATGCAACGCACCGAGATGCCATGTCTGGTGGTTCTGTCAACTGTAAGTATCATATGACGATGATCATAGGGATTCTATCAAGTGCTAATTGGTACCACGTAGTATATCACGTCACTGAGAGTGGATGGGAATACCACGGCAATCATGATGTTGGACCCCTTCATTACGAATACCAGGATGAGTTGGCACGAAGCAGGCAATAAAATGGCTACCAACATTGGCCGATCCATCTATGACAATGTTTGTAAAAATATCCCACATCGATCATGCGTAAATATCTTATTGTTGCTATCCCATGTTTGTGGTACTAGAGCAAGCTTGTCATTTCCTTTCCCTGATACGCTAGTACAATGATGCATTACGATAGCTTTTCTCGAATCAGCGTAATTGGATATAAAGCATTATGGATTTCCCTCATAAATCATTATACATGATCCATCTCGAGCATATACAGTTGACAGCGTAGACGTCTAAAACTTTTATAAAAAGTGAGGCTATACACAAAAACGGGGAACGGGAACTATCTAAGCGGACAACATGATACCAACACCGAATTTGCTTTGGCCCTGTATGATAAAGGATGAGTGTGAGTAAACCTATCCCAATAGCCCATATTGAAGATTGTACCTTCATGTGATCCAAGTCACCACTGATGAGGAAAGAGAAGCCAGGAGCCATCTTCTCTTCGAGAACAGCCGACACGCGACCAGTAGTGTCAATTTGGCCACGGAAAGTAGCTTGTCTAAAGTCGAACTTGCCACCAACAGTAGCAACACCCTCTCTCCTCTGACCTTGCATAAGCAAGTTGATCTCAACACCAAAGTCGACCTTTTCATTGATGCGTTGATAGTAGCTGGCTTGGATAGCACCGAGACCTTGGAATTGAGCGGTAGCAATGTAATCATTGCCAGTATATTTACCAACCAAGGACATGGCGGTCTCCTCCATATCAGGTGTAGGACGCTGCAAGACAATTTCGGAACCAATGGCCAGCTTGGATGACACAGATTGCAAGTAAGAGGCGACGTACAAACCAGTGAATTCCATTGGGTTGGGGTTCATAGCCTTAAGGTTGATGCTATAATCAGAGCCTGCATATTCGTGCTCCATTTGCAACATCGAGTGACCAGGCATATGCGTAAGCTATATACACAATATCAATCATCAGCATCCTTTCGCTTTTTCTTTCTCTCTCTTGTATCTTGTAAATACCTGAGCCATGATCTTTGTAAGGGAGTTCATAGACCACATGTGTCGCACAACAGCATTGAGATTGGTATCATTATCCATCGTGCCTTGGATCATCGTCTAAAATTGGAGTCGTGTGTAAGTCGCGTGTGTATAATAGGAATACGTGTATACGCGCTCCATATCGTTTCCCTATATGCATCCACCCATCCTTATTCCAAATTACCCTCTCAGTCATGTATCCGGACATGAAATTGTACATAGGAGGCATCACTTGAGAGCCCAACGAGAACTGGTGCTGTACATGAAAGTTGGGCGACAATTCCTTGACAATATTAGCTTGAGCACCGTCAAAAAGGTAGTTGGTAACAAAGGTGTCTATATTGGATGATGCGTGTACTTAGGTCGTGTGTTCTCTTTCTCTTTTTTCTTTTCTTGTTGAAGGTCAATTTACCCTTTACTTCGCCATGCAAGCGTTCAAACTTGCCAGGGTTTGGCAAACCGAGACGGCTCTTATGGTAGCTGAAAAGACGTGGCCAATGCAGCGGATTGTAAAAGGTTCCCGTAGGCTGTTGAGGCTTGTTTGGGAATGCTGACAATGGTGAATAGATTCCAGTCGGGGGCGTGGCGAGGTTAGGTGCTGTTGGTGTGGACATGCTTGTAAGATATGTGCCGAAAGAGCCAAAAACAAAAAGATTTTGACCGCTTAGCGCTTATCCCAGTCTAAAGATGGTCATCGCAGAGAGGCTTTTTTAGCCCCGCACCCGCTTATACTCACGGGTTGTCATGTCTTACTCTGAGTCCCCGTGACGTAGTTGCATGTATATATCCGTGCGTCACTTCATATCAAAACCCAATAAATTCATAATGCGTACAAGACCTACTGTATGGTATCCATGACAACACAAAGCCATTTCTTCCATTTAGACAAGGCTCATGAAGCGTCACTTGGCAACGAATAAAAATCAAGCGACAATTGGGTAGCAACGCCATCACTATGTTCACCATTATCAACTACAACCTGATAAATGACCTTTATTACATGACGTGTTGAATGTTGTTATGGCAAGGAGAGGGGAAACGACGTGTATTGATTGATTTGATCCGTGTCGCCGTTTTGGATGTGGTGGTGGTGGTACACACGCATTACGACGCACGAGTCATCACCATACTGCCCCCCTTTCATTCATCATCTGCTCTCCCCCAACTCCTAATCACTCTTCTTTCACTTTCTTTCTTTCTCTTTCTTTCTTGCATTATATCCTTGTATACCATGAAATCAGAACCCACAGAATCCGAGTGTTGGCTCGTTATTGGTGCTCATCAAGCAGGTGCAACAGAGGGACGTTGTGCCGAAATCGCTGGCTTGCCTCGATCCGCTGCCCACAAGATCATTAGCAACTTTAAGAAATTGGGCTCCCCTCAAGCATCCACTGTCAATTCGGCATCTGTGTTCATGCCATCTCGTAAGTGATATATAAAGGAGACCTGTATTGAGCATGGTATTCACGTATATACGTATACAAAGACAAACGTAGGAGAAACGACTACGACTACCAAGATTCACCTTCTCCTGGACCTGTAAGATGCACCTTGCCATTTTGAGAAAGTTCATGCAAAACACAAAAGCACTTTTATTGTGCATGTGCTTTCTCTTTATTACATTTCATTAACAACTCTCCTTCTTTCATTTCTTTGTTTAAAGCGGAAGCGTGGTCGTCCTCGCAAGGTGATTTATGCAACGGAGGGCTTAATCCGAGAGACCATCAGTCGTAACCATAACAAGAAGGCACATGACAACGATCCTAGCAACAATGAATGGACTGAGCATGACGACCGACTCTTGCTTTCTCATGTACTTGGCGTGCCCCAAAACTTCAAATGGAAGGAATTGGAAACCATCTTTGAACAAAAACATCTATCCAAGATATGCCGTGATCGTTGGACTTTGTTGAAAAAGGAAATGCTTAAAGACATTAATAAAAATCGGTGAGAATAAATCATCGACGATACCAACAATTGTAATGTCATTGATTTTGTTGTTTTTATAAACGTGTGTGTGTGTGAAAGAGAGAGTGTGTGTGTGCGTGTGAGTGAAAGATGGAACAACTAAACAGCGGATGAAAGTGGGATAAATGCATTGTATAACAGTGGTTGTATAAAAGATTATTAATCCACGATTTCCTCGACTTCATCAATGACCTCTTCAACCCATTCTTCAATGGTCTCTGATTTGCCTTCGTCGGCACTTGATCGAAGTTCCTTGCCGGCAGCCTTACGTTCATCAAGCATTTGCTTCTCGACTTGCTTTCTCCAGGCGTACCAATCCTCAATAGCCTTCCGACGAGCGGCAATGATACGAGCAGCATTGGCATCACCAGCAGCAAGATCTTCTTCTTCGAATTGTTTGCTGTATTGTCTAAGGTTCTTTTTGATCTTCTTCTTTTGCTCTGGAGTCAACAAACTCTTGGGACGAGGACGCCACATGATGAGCTTGAAATGATCGATGCTCTCTTGACGCAACAATTGACCCTTGAAATCCCACATGTTGAAACCATGGTCGGCAGAATGGTGCCATGAGCTGGAACCACTGACAACATAACGGCCTGTTGGATCCCATTCAATATCAGTGACACCATAATGCTCTTGAGCAGACAATTGCACCACAGTCGAACCAAGTTCGGCCTTAGCATCCTTCTTGGCTTCACCCATTGGCTCAAAGTCCAAATCCCAGAATTCAATATCATGTGCACTTGGGCTACGCAAAGTTGAAAGTACGATGTGTCGACCCTTGGGAGACCACGACAAGCTGTTGGTGGTCTTCTTGTCAATCTTTTTCAGTGGGCGGAAACCAGCAACTGCTTTGCTTGTGTCAAGATAGTAGAAAGTAACGGCCGTCTTAAAAGTGGTAGGGGGTGCTGCACCACCAGGACCAGGAGCAGTGGCGCCAAATGCAGGGTCGTTCGTAGTAATGATGGCAAAACGTTCACCGTTAGGCTCCCAAGCAAATTTGAGTACAGGATCCTTAAGCTCAAGAGTCTCAACAGGAATGGCTTTCTCGCAAACACGGAAGATTTCAAGGTTGGTGAATTGTGATTTCTTGGTCTTGGTATGACGATTGACCTTGACAGCCAAAAAGTGACCCTTGGATTGCCAGAACAACATACACTACATCATAAATACAATATAAGTCTCCCATCAATAAACCTCTCTTTGCTTCTATTACTTACATCGGTAACATTGAACAAATTCTTGGTGCGGACAATCTCCTTGCTAGGCATAGCCATCATGGTAACGCGTGCAGGTTGATTGCCAACTTCAGGTGTCCAATATGCAAGCATTTCTTCCTTTTGGTTGAGCTTAGAATCCGATTTCTCACCAAGAGATGGAGACCATTCGAAATCGACAATGCCTTCAATCTTGATACTCTTCTTGCCAACCAAACCCATCGAAGGTGCTTCATAGACTGATAATTGTTGACCAGGAACAACACGTGCAAAGTATTTGTCGGAAGGAGACCACTTGAACATGGGCCATCTCACGGTCTTTTGTTGTGCTTCAGTGGGAAGAGCAGCGAATGAACGAAGCAATGCACCAGTCTTAATATCCCAAACAATGGTGTGGTTGCCTTCATCGTATTCGGAGAAAGGATGGGGTGCACCAGCAGGAATGCGTGCCAAGCTGATGGGCTCACTCGACCATGTGACAAGGTAACGTTCGTTGGGAGAGAAATCGATGAGTCTGACACCAGGATGATAGAAGCGTACAATTTGAGCCCAAGAAGGACCACCCCACAATGCAATGCCCTGTGCGTGGAAAGTGGCGACATAGCTACCGAGAGGCGACCATTGCAAGTAGTTTTGTGTCCAATCCTATTATAATCAAATGAGTCAATTGATCCATGTGATCATGAGACATGTATGAAATCCACTTACAGAGCGAACATAGACTTCTTCAAGTTTCTCGGTCTTACGGTTCCAGTAGATGCCAGCTTCCTTGCCACGATAGATCAAGAGCTGATCACGTGCCTGAGGATCCATCAACCAGCTCTTGAGATGTTCCTTTGGAGTGAATTCGGGAAGTTCTGGTTCTTCATACTTGTCGTTCATGTTGGTGTACTTTTCAACATCGGTGAAGCGGTTGACAGAAAGCTGATGGGCCTTGGACATTTTGTAGCCATCCAAGTTCTTGACAGCGGCAAAAGCGGCATCGGGCGTTTCAAAGTCAACAAACAAGTAACTAGATAAGGATCAACAAGCGATTAACAATCATGACGCGTATAGAGAGATGTATCGTTTCTCGTACCCTTTGCTTTCACGCTTGCCGTCCTTGGACTCCATAGGCATCCAAATACCACCCTCCTTGACTTCGCCAGCATTCTTGGTCAAAAGCTTGCGCAATACTGAAAGCAACTTTTCCTCTTTGTTCTCATCAACAATGGGTGCGCCATCGACAACGACGATCGTATCGAGTTCCTCGTCAACCGAAACTTTGTGCTTCTCGTAAATGTCGCTGAAATCGATGTCCTCTTCGCGTTCAGGCAGATTCTTCAAGTCGAGCCCAGGCATAGTGAAAAATGAGGGAGTGAATGAAAGGAGTGAGCAAGCCGAAAACAAGAGCAAATTTCAAGTTGGCCGTGCGAGGTGGCTTGGCGTCAGCTGCACACATACCCACTCATCCCATCCCATCCCAGCTAAATGCTATGACAGCCACATCCCCCTCAAACACATACATGATCGCATCCAAAGGCATGGTATTTTATAGGATGATGATGATGATGATGGGAATTCTTTCTATTCTTGAACCCTCTTACAATAAAAGGATAGTATATGCATTTGCATACATACTTTGCTACACTAGAGGAGATGATGATGGCCTATGAGAAGATGAATCAACAACAGCTACGTATCACTACTAGGATTATGAACAAACTACGTCAGCCATTATCGAAAAGGGGTGATTTCAAGGGGGAATTGGAAGTAACAACATCACATGGCATCAAGGATAAAGACATGTTTTCTTCTTCGAGAGGGGTTACTTGATCCCATGGTGGCAAGTTGGCATTCCCATCATATACGACAACTATCTTGTTCGCCACCATTCCCATACACATTCACGCACACACACATTTATAAGCAAAGGCAGTATCCATAGCAACCAATAAGTAGCTTTTGTTAAAAGTAGCAAATAAAAAGTAGACTATATCATGATCAAGGTTACATCGTAGGTAAAGCTGCTACGGTATTATGACAAGAGTGGCAAGTGCTATAGCCTCTCTTTTTAGATCGTGGTATGTATTGTGGTAGATGGGTCGTCGACAATGCGAATGTGTATTGCACACACCAATATGAGAATGATTAGATGCCATTCGTAATAGGAAGCTGCACCGGAACGATGGGCCCAAAGTAGATAAGCATATACTTGATTGTGGCCTTTTGGTATCCCTCCTGTGCCAAATGGGTATTCGTGTCACGCCAAGTTGGAGATACAAGCAATAGCTAGCCATCACGGAAAGCTTAATATCGTAAGCCGCTCGGACGGCATGATGTAAATGGATCACGGCGTTTGGGTAAATAGCTTCGTGGTCGAAGAGGGCCGACAATTTTTTGTGCTCGCATCATGTTAGCCTCGGCAACAATCATACGAAGATGATCACTATTGACCCGGATATCGCGTGCATGATGATGGTGCTTTAAGGGGTTCTGTCGTTTGTTTAGTTTCTTTTTCCCAGAGCTGGAACACGATGATGATGATTTGGTATACGGCTTGATTGTTGCTGTGTCGTCGTTGTTGTTGCATCGAAGTGTGTCATTCATATCGCCATCCATCGTACATGATGATGAAGATGATGATGACAATGATTGCGTTGATGGTAATGAGGAGAGTTGGTTATCATCATCTTCGTCATCTTCTTCGTCATCCAATATCGGTGTCCAATCCGTAGGACTCTTCCAAGCAAACCATCGCTCATCATCATCTGGTGAAGGTGCTTCGAATATCCGAAAGGTTTCCAAAGGTACACCCTTGTTTTCCACGTCGTGGGTTTCTTCCTTCTCGGTACTAACTGTGGCAGTTGACCTTTCTTGCACGTAATGGTCGCACAAAAGATCTGAAAGGGCTAATGTGGTATTGGATGTTGTAGGTGGATTTGTTGACGATGTTGGTGATGAAGACAATGGGGTTGGAGTTGTATTTTCACTAATGGTCGAAAGGCTACTGCTGGATGCGCTGCTGCTAGCTGAGGTGCTCAAGCTACCGCTGGATGATGAGCTGGTACTTAAACAGCTACATGCATCATCACTGCTCTCGCTGGTTGTACGAGAGATGGTAATGGGAACACTGACGTCAAGCGGCGTGGTGGGTGATGGGGATCGAGGCATGAATCCAACAGGTGACGATGGTTCCTTATTGACATCGGCATACGATGATTCCGAAAAATGGGCAAGTACACGATTAAACAAAGATACAAGAAACGTTGAATCGTCTTCATTGGCATTTTCAAAATATGGATAAGGTGCCTGCTTCCTTGGTGATGGTGGTGATGACCATGCTCGTTTGTGTTGATGCTCTTGGCCCTTATGCTTCTGTTTGTGTGAAGTATCAATTATTATACATGTTCTTTTATCGCGTTTAAACATTGTCATTACACCAACACACACACTCTCATATGCACTTTGGGTCCCACTCCTCTCTCTTTCTCTCACTCAAATAACATCTACATTTATTGTGCTTTGAAAGCAGCAGCAATACATTCATTCTAAAAGAATAATGCTAAAACAACAGACGTCAATGCGCCCGTTGTCATTGCACGCCACCCATCGATAACCACACCACCCGACCCAAAACATCCAAAAACACCCAAAACTTACTTTTCTGGAAGAACGCCGTGTCGGGATCGTGCCGTATGGTACAGGTGCATGTGCAGTGATTTGTTTGGCACGATGACGATATACATCGCGAGTCAAAGTTGCAGGGATATCGAGGCTGTTGCTGCTGTTGCTGTTGGTACTTTTTGTGCGTGGCATTGAAGGAGGATATGTAATATGCAAGCGGGGATGAAAATGATAAGGAATAGAAAGAAAAAGGGTAAGACAAAGAGTGCAAATTGAAAGTTGAATGGATGCTTTTAAATAGGCAAGTTTGGTTTTCCTCTTTCGGAATAGCGATAAGGGAAAGGGGGGAGGATGCGGGGATGGGGGTGGAATCAAAAAGCGGTGATGGGAGGTCACGGGTTGCCCTTCATATACTTTCAGCACACCGACAAAGACTTTTATACCTTTTCCCATAAACAAAAGCACACCATTCAATGTTTATGCAAAAGCTATTTATTATCCATATATGCCTTTTCACACGCATGGCGCTCATAAACATAAACAATATATATATAAAACACTTGTATGCGCCTCCTCTTGAATCCACGCCAGGGAGGACAAGGAGAATCAAAAGGATAGCCAATGTCAGGTTGCAGCGTGCGGAAAACTTTATTCAATGTCCTGACAAATAGGGGTCTCCTTTTTTCACTCTTTATCTTGCGGCATGCTCATACGTATACTAGCTGACAAGAATGTTGGTCGTCATCAGTAACCCCAACACCAAAAGGGATGCCGTTGCTACCGTGTCTTTAGTAATGCGTGAGAACCGATTGCTAATAGCATTACTACTACTACTACCATGCTTTGGATGCATACAAAAGCTCTCCACTTGATTATGCTTCTTTCCTTGCTGTAGCGAAAGTGCTGTTTTCGGTAAGCCAGTTGTATTCGATATCCAATCGAGATGCTGGTCAATGTTGACAAAGGCATTATAAACGGTCTTTCCATGGTCGGGTACAGGACACGTTCCCCTGCTTGGGTCTTGGTCATGGACATTGAAAATTCGACTGAGAACACCCGTCATCAACAATACTCCACTTTTACTAGCTATCAGCAGCGGCCCTCCTATTTTGGATCATTGTCATCAGTATTAAATGGCGTTGCTGTACGCACTATGATGTAAAACATCGAAACAAAGGAAGCCATGCAGGGTTCATAATTAAGCTACCTGAGTCTCCATGGCAAAGCGCCGTGTTGTGTGAAAAGGTTGTAGTCATCCATAGGCGATTGGTGGTATACCTTGGATACGTCATGAATGCCATTTGAATGGTATCGGGTAATTGATTGTCATTTTCATAGCCCACCCCCACAAAGCGAGCATCGGTACCAGTGTCATCATCCATCGTGGAACCAATAGCAATGCAATGCCTCACAGGTAATGCAAGCTGCACGAGACCAAGGTCATATACGGAATTTTCCAAGGCCGATTTTGCACTCTTGGATGGTGCTGACGATGATGATGATGGGGCTTGGGCTTGTTCATTGGTGGTGGAGTAGGTTACAAAATGCGGGTGGATGATGCTCTGCGTAATGCCAATCTTTTTACTTTTTTGTCGCCAATGCTTGTCATTGCATGGATCGCTGTTGTCATCATCATCCACCACATAAACATGCTCAGCTGCAATTTCAGGCACTAGACAATGTGCAGCCGTCAACACCCATGCTGGATCAGTGGATATCAATGAACCACCGCATATGATCTGGTCCCCAAATACAACAAAGAATGGGTACTCATGATGCCAATCACTTATGGCTGTGCCTTGGGAGATGGCCAATGCGTCTTTGACCAGGGACAAGTATACAAGCTGCATTACTGTTGTTGGCAAATGCATGACAAAATTGAAATGGTAGATAACGTAGATCGCGGCTTTTCTTTGTGCAACACCCGCACAAACAATGCAACGTACATCAAGGCTGCTAATTATATATAAGCATGCCTTGTGGGACGACAATAGTAACACGTGAGAATGAACAACGATGGTGCCGTTTATGCAATCGCTAGTGATGCTGCAGTAGTTTGATCTTCCAAATCAGTGATAAATAAAGCAATTGAAATGTATGAGATAGCATTATGGCTGATACAAAAGGATGGATTTGTGTTGTTGTAGCCAATGTCATGTTCTTGTTCAACATTCTCATCGTTGATGTGTGCATGAAGTATCATCGAAACCCGATCGTTTAACGATAAAGCTGTCAAGAATGAAAGATTACAAGAAAACCTTGATACAAACAAAAGTTGATGTAGGTAGTAGTTTAATCGAAAATACAAGAGGTGATTAATTAGGTCGCTTCTAAGCTGCCCACAATCCACTACCAGTAGCATCAGAAAGGGGTCTACGATGTCCTTCAATTGTTTGTTCAACGAAACGCACGCCTTGTTCTTCGAGTTGATCCAAAATAGGCAAGTAGACATCAGGAGAGATGGGTCTCAAGACACCACGATCATGGATCTTGTTGTCAAGAATAAGCTCAGTTGCCATTGCTGCTGGTAAGCCGACCGTTTTTGCCATAGCAGTCTCGCCGTTAGGGACGCCATAATCGATCAATGTAGAAATGACCGTCTCCTATGATAGATTGCAAATAGCGATGTTAGCTTCGTCAATACTCCCATGAAGATCATTGATTTACCGTTTTGTTGGTGACTCTATCTTCAATCACAAATTCGTGCTGCATGGCCGTCATATCTCGCTCACCAGGTTTATAAGCCAATCTATTAGCGAGGATAATCGAGAACGCATCGAGCGATGTGGGTGCCTTGTACATGCTGTCGGGAACACCTGAAGTGAATAGGAAGCGCATTGCATCAACGGTGCGATCAATCACAGGGTTGTCTTGATCAAGATGTAGCATTTGTGCCAAGGCCTTTTTATCACCAGCTAGGACATCGTTTGCTTGTTTACCCTAAAGCCATACCATATCAGCAAGCGAATACATGATGGAATACAATGATGCTTACCCAAGATGAAACAAGTGATGTAAAGTCTTCATTCAAAGAAAGGAAACCAAGCTTTCTAAATGCATAAAGCAAATCAGAGTATCCCTGATGTGTTTCTTTGTTAGTGCATAGCCCTATGTGAAAGCACTTGTCATGCATACCTGATAACGCAAGGTGCCACGGAACATAGTATCCATGTCATTCAAGTTTCCTAATCCATAGATATCGGTGTATTTGAGCGAATCTCGGTTGGCCAAGCCTTCAAAGGTGAATCCTTGGAATGGTGTGCGCACAGATGGGAAATGTTGTTTGAGCAAATCAACGCCTGCGATATTGTGTTGCTAATTTAAAGACATCGAGTAAATAAGTATACAAGGTTGTAGAAGAAATGGTATATTGGAAAGCTTATTTACCTTGCCATCAGCCCAATAGACAGCGTCATTGCCACTGGCAGTGAGTACGCCACGAGGTGACCAACTAAACTTGTAACCCAATGGCACATTGGATGCTTCAGGTGCTGGGAGACCACCACACCACGACACAAACGAGCGCACCTTGGATCATGATGATTAAGTTACAAAAGAAGGAGATGGTGGAGTGATGCATGAATTGATTTACCTTTTTGCCATGTGCCTTTGCTTCATCAATGATTTTCATTGCCGACATGTGATCGATACCAGGATCCAGCCCGACCTCGTTCATGATGGTAATTCCTGCACGCTTTGCACTAGACTACGTATTAGCTACCCGCTCTATTGCATTCACTTAAGTATATACTTACTCGTCATCCAACTTTTCCATCTCCGGAGATACGTAGCTTGCTGTCACCATGTGCTTGCGGTGGTCAATGCAGGTCTTGGCAACAGTGTCATGCAAAAATGCAGGCACCAAACTACGAAATCCATGAGTGAACAACGCGTCAAGGTACTCATACACACACTATATAGAACATACCTCACAACAACATCGGCTCCAGAGACTAGGTTTCCAAGCTTTTCCTTATCAGAGATATCCAATTGCACGGCTTCTGTTTCACCACCCTCCTGGTTACTAGCGGCCTGGCATTGAGAAGCCAAACTTTCAGCTTCGCTAAGAGCATTGCTAGCTATTGAGAGGACAACACAATGAGTTACAAAGTTACAAGGAGGGAGTCAAAGCAACGCATTACCAATGACAACGCGCACGTTGGATCGACGAAGTAAGTGTTGGACTAATGGGCGAGCCACCATGCCCGATCCAAGGAGTAGAACGGTCTGCTTCTCCTTTTGTTGGGCGATATGGGTATTGAGAGAGGAGTGTTCACCAAGAAGCTTTCCATTGTCGGCGATAGTGGCATTAGCAAGGACCGATGGCAAGTTCTTAAAGTCGTTGGTGGAAGGATGGATCTGCATGCATTGACAATGAGCGTGGGAAGAAAGTCACGTGACGTGGAATGAAGGGGACTTACCAAATCCTTGATGAATGGATACAAGACCTGGCTAAAATGCTCACTGCTTTCGATTGGAAGTTCAGCAGGAAGGATATCGATACCCATGATTTGAATGCCATCCTTTTCAACACTACAAATGATACGTTAATCAGCTTGATGCCATGACAATAAATGCAAGGCCAAGTCCTTACTTTTGATGTTCAACATTCTTGATCGCGTCGTAATAGTAAAAGCCATCTTCAATATTGGCTGTACGAGACAAGCACTCAAATGCACCCTGTATTACGCTGTTAGAACGACATGTGTGATTAGAGAGAGAGGATGTATACATACCCTTGGGTCACACACGATATCCACCAGCGACATCATCTTGCCCTTATCGATTGAACCTTGTTTTTGTAGTCGTTGGAATTGGGCAAGATCCTCATTGCTCATGAGTCGTGGATAGCGCTGATCCCAGTATGCTCCCGTGACAACCGAGTTGACATATGGTGCGATCTATAGAGGGCGGATGCGTGGGAGAGAAAGGGGCGTGGGACACAATGATCGTGGGGATTAGTTTTCCAAATGAGGAATACACTCGAGTATACCATGTACCTTTTCAGAGAAACACGACTCATAATTACTCGGGTTTACCAAGTAATCATGATGCGACGCTAAAGGTGCACCCGTCTTGTTGCGAATATAGTCTTTTGTTTCTAGTTGCACACCATAAACCTTCTTTAATCGGGGATCTGCAGATTTGGTTAATACGTTGTCTACTACTCATACCACTCAATGCTATACTTACTCTTATCCTTCACAAGCTTGGGCAAATCTTCAGCGGGAACAAACTCATGGGGAAGTTCCTTGAAAATCTCCAAGGCACCCTGAATGACGTAAGGAAATGTAAGACTCACACGCTTGCTATTCTATCAAAATGATCGCGCCACAACGCTGGTTGATGCCATACCTGAGCCACGTTTCCAGCACCAGTAAATCCAAACACGAGTGGGCCAAAATCGCTAGGCGTGCCTTCCTCTTCTATAAGGTTACCAGCTTTTCGTACTGCAAGCTTAGCTGATGCTACACTACGGTAGCTATGAGCCATAGATAAATACTATACAAATAGCCAATGTGAATAAACACGCTCAATTGTCTCTCATAAAACAATCATTTACCATCAAAGGCATGTTGTAACCAAGCCCAAGGAAGCGGTGTGCCATGCCATGCAAACCATCCACCATGCCTGCATTGCCTGCAAAACGCCCAAAGGCCACTAATCGCTTTCCAGACTCGGGATCCTTGATAAGCTCATAATCGATCAAGCGTATTTTCTGTTGCATCATAAAGTAAATAAACAACCTTTATATGACATGTCATTTATACTTCACCTTATCCAGGATATCCTTGAGCATAGGCATGTTCTCCTTTTTGCCCTTGTGCGTATGTGAAAAGAAGACGTATGTCTTGCCAGGCAACAATTTGGATGTTGGCACTTCCTTGATTCCCAAAATAACATCGGCAGGCGAGAGATCTTCAGTCAACGTAGCACCTGCCTTTGGTAAAAGTTGTTTTGTGTTAGCTATTGTAATGGTATTACGATTGCTGGGATGTACCTTGACATAGGCATTGTCAGTAAAGATGCGCTTAGTACTCGGCTGAATATAGACTTGTGCTCCAGTTTGCTCAATAAGATCCTTGACAGCCTCTGGAGTCAAAGGTGATCGTCTCTCCCAACGACTCTTATCTTCGCGGCGAATACCCACACTAAGGAAGCCTGTTCTTGATACATTATCACCTGAACGCCACACGTAAGAATTGGAGGAGATGGATCGATAACCAAGTTGTCGAGCAAGTGCATAAGACTGCCTTGCAGCTGGAAGTACACGGGTGAGACCAACCATAAGGCTAATATATATGAAGGGAAAAGAAATACACAAACCTGCACGAAACAGCATCCAAGTGTATAATACTTGAGCTTGAGAGCGTGGGAAAGGAGGGGCATCATGCGATCGGCGGAGGGATGTGGGGACGGTTTCACTACTTCGATTAGGATCCCTTCTTCCACCTTTCCATTCTGCCGTCATAGAATGACCAACCAGGTTCTTGTATTATCATGTCACGGATAACTGATTTGGAGTAACACTTCAAAATCAGGAATCTCACCATGACCACTATCATGCATGTCAATGTTGGCTTGCATGAATTTTCGTAAAGCGTGTATATCCGAATAAATTTGCTATGCTTGGCTTCGTTGCAATGAGAGAAAGAAACCAACACAACTTGCAAGTAAAGGTTATGCTAGCACTCCTCGAGAAAAAATAGCCCCTATTTTTAACAATACCTGTTGCGTAGCAACCACCTCCCCCCTCAACAACTGGATCCCAACAATTTCTCACAAGTGGACGTATTCTTCGATGACAGTGCACCTTTCAATGCTCAAATAGTTGATGGGTTTATTGTTTCTTCATTCTAATAGTAATCCAATTTCTCGCACGTGGTTACAGGAGTAACTATTTAGAGCTGCATGATCGATCAAATGGTTTATCATTAGCATCATAGCGATGGATCAGCTATGAATCAAGCATCAAATCGCTTATTCTCCACGTACCGGTATTAGGTTGATAAGGTATTGGTTGCATAGAGATGCGTCAAAGCCAACCGTTTCCAAGACAAGGAGTTGATCTAGTATGTCGACATGGTATCCTCGGCGTATCTTTCGATGATGCTGGATCGTTTTGTGACGTAATGAAACTCCGGTAAGGCTGCCAGTGCTGCAAACGGGTTGTCGTGAAGGCCAAGACTACCGCATTTTTTACACTTATCCTTTTACCCCAACCCCAGCTTACCCTCCACTATGAACTTGTTCGGAAAAGCCAAGTCCAAGACATCAGCCAAAGATGCAATCTACAAATTACGAGAAACGTTAGACATGCTCGAGAAACGACAGGCTTTCCTGGAGGCCAAGGCCAACAATGAACTTAAAACAGCCAAGGTCAATGCGACCAAAAATCGACGAGGCAAGTGCAATCCCCATACGCCATGCTATGACATGAAGCTAATCAAGTGTATTGGACTCTTTTTTTATTGTTGGAAACAGTGGCACTACTAGCGTTGAAGAGGAAAAAGGCATATGAGACCAACATCGAAAAGATCAATGGTGCCCGTATGACGATCGAGACACAGATGATGGCTATCGAGAATGCCAATGTCAACCTGGAGACGATGGGAGCCATGCGAGCTGGTGCCGAGGCAATGAAGAATATCCATGGATCAATGTATGTATTGCATGTTGGGTAGCGACAAGGAAAATGAGGGGTGCGGGAATCTTGGCTCTCCGATTTCCGATTAGGATTATGCCATGAAGCAAGCAAGCATGCAAACTCACATTTTTCATGATTCTTTATAGGGACATTAATAAGGTGGATACAACGATGGATGATATCCGTGACCAAATGGATATTGCCAATGAAATCTCGGACGCTATCTCTAGACCGGTTGGCATGGGCGAGGAATTGGATGAGGATGAACTACTCAATGAACTTGAGGAATTGGAACAAGAGGAATTGGATGCAAAGATGCTCGATACTCCTGCACCGGCTGTTGTCACGCCCGATGTCCCTGTACACAAGCCATGTAAGTTATCAAGGAAAACAAAAGAAGAGGAGAGAAGATATGAATGGAGGTAGTATCATCATCACTAATCACATGTTTTTCTCATTCAGCCAAGGGATCTGTATCAGAGGATGAAGAGGAGAAAGAACTCAAGGCTTTACAAGCTAGTATGAGTATGGCCATGTAAAGTTAGCATTTATCATTATATCACAAGGATGAGGAGGGATTAAAGCACTGGATATATCACAACACAATACTATCATAATAGAAATGTACCATTGTTTCGACGTAATAGCTGCTAAATGACTCGATTGCATGATAATTAATGCAGGTTCTTCTTATGGACTTGAGCATAACTTACCCGACATGTGACACAGGCGTTATGATTGTGCCTCAATTCCACTTTCAAAACGTCACACTCTTCCTTTGTCCGATGCTACATCAACTCAAGTTGCCCAATGGGCCCAACACCATCACACTCACATACGATGGACTTGGTCTTCGTGTCGAAGGTGCTGTCGATGTTGAACAAAAAGGTAAGCTAACCTTTGTTAGCAACAACGATGGGTCCTTGGAATGCTCATGTTTACGTTTTCTCGTGCCAAGCAGGGAGCCGACGTACACTATCCGACTTGACTCTACTTCCTATCGCCAAGGTTAACGTCTTGAACGTTGTACTCGATTCGTCTCAACGTGTGCTTCGTATCCATGCATTGGTACCTCGCAAACAAGCCGTTCCTGACTCGCCCCTCGACCTTTGCATTTTCAGTTGTCCTGTTGACCAGTCAAAAGTTTCCGAAGCCCAGCATTTTATTCAATCAGTCATTGACCACGTCTATCAAGGTATTCATTCGGCTTTATGAATAATGGCACCATAACCAACGCCTCATTCGATATAGATGCCAAGCATGAGAAACGACTCAAAGTGCTTATCAATCCATTTGGAGGTCAAGGCTTAGCCAGGAAGATATTCAGAGAAAAAGTGGCTCCTGTGTTCGAGAGTGCAAGATGCAAGGTGGATGTACAAGGTGAATAATCTTTAATTCACGTATTAGCTCAATTGATATCCTAACTCGTGCCATTATTGAATCTGGTAACACAAAGAAACCGAATATCAGGGACATGCAGTTGAGATTGCCAAGGAACTCGATATCGATGCATATGACGCCATGGTCACAGTGAGCGGTGATGGTGTCATCCATGAAGTAATCAACGGATTTTGTCAACGCCCTGATGCCCGTATGGCTTTGAAGAAGGTTCCCATGGGTGTGATTCCTGGAGGCACTGGCAACGCTCTTAGTATTTGTATGCTTGGTGAAAAGTTAGGCTTCGATGCTGTACACACAGCTCGTCAAGTGATCAAAGGTATTATTACAACGATCCTTTTTATTTTACTTTGGATCTTACATTGTACGTGTAGGTACTCCCATGGCCATTGATCTTTGCTCAGTGACATACGATGATCACCGATACATGTCTTTCCTCTCTCACAATTATGGTATCACTTCCTATGCTGATTTGGCGACTGAAAATCTTCGGTAAATTTGCTTTTTGATTCACCACTTGAATCACATGACTTACCCCATGTTGTCAGCTGGATGGGTGATGCTCGCACAATCCTTGGTCTCCTGCAACAAATTTTCACTGGACAAACCTACAGCGTTGAAGCAGCAGTCCAAGTCGTTGAAGCAACCAAAGACAAGATCAAAAGCAACTTTGCCAATGAGGATAAGATGAACAATACAAGCGAACAAGGAGATGGTCCCATCCAAGATACGATCCCACCACTTTCTGAACCTGTGCCAGATGATTGGACAACTATCAAGGGTGACATTTCGCTTTTCTTGACTAGCAAAACGCCATGGCTTGCACGTGGTATGTTGAGTCATCCTTGTGCTGTTCCAAATGATGGTTTGCTGGATCTCTTGCTTGTTCGTGACAATCAAAGTATGTTTGCAAAGCTCGACATGTTTGGCAAGGTGGAATCAGGACATCATATTGATTCGGATGCGGTAAGTTGAATGAGTCTAGCAACAAATCTGATTGCTGATTGACGTGTCTATAGGTTGAATACTACAAAGTCCGTGCCTTCCGTATCAAGCCCATTCCCAAGCCTGGCAAAAAGGCATACGTAGCAATCGATGGTGAACATGCTCCGGCAAAGGAATTTCAAGTGGAAGTACATCCTGGTCTTGCTTATGCTTTGAGCTTGTATCCAAGCTATGAAAATACACGCTCATGGCGACCTTCAAATATGCAATCAACCTCAGGTTCATCGTTCAAGGACAAGCTAAGAGCCTTCAAGAACAAGATTCACAGCACAGTTGCCTATATCCTTTCCATCATCCGTCAGTATTTTGGCGGCATTGGACGTGTATTTCAAAGATCGAGCACACGATAACTACTTTACATTACTTAATAAAGCATTGTATCAAACAATCAGCCTGGCTGCTTATGATAATTCCTTATAGGTGAGCTTGATCCTAGCGAGCAACGTTGTTCCATTAAATACCTCACGTTTGATTGTAAGATACAGGCATCTTTATGTTTTCACTATGCTGTATGCGTGATGCTAAATGAGAAGTAGTCTTTGTTCATTGTTAAGTAGCTGCTGATAGAGCAAAAGATGCAGAGGGGCGTGTATGTGTGACACAGCTACTTCTGCATGACTGGAAAGATTGATGGATCATACTTTAATAATGTCCGTATATAGCGGGCTAACAGCCAATTCCTTCCAATCAGCGTTGTTGCGAAATCCACTTCATGTGAACGATTCTGCTGCTCCAGCCGAGCATTTCCATCATTCAAGCTTCTTGATCCGAGCCGATTTGACTGAGCTACGCTGGAAGAGCAAACATGAAAATTAATGAATCGCAGACCCTGCGAATGTCTCCGTCTTTCAAACTTTTGGACGCTCCCATTCCAAATTTTCAAATGAAGTGCGAAGTTTTTATCAGAAAAAGTTTATCAGCATGCTCGAGAGCACCCTCCTGACCAACTTTGAAGTTGGGAGCAGGCAACTTCGGGGCGGTGGGCCGTCCTCTCTTTTGTACCCGTTATCCACCATTTGGACCACCCCGCATTTTAAATCTTCAAAATGAAGTCTGCTAATTTTAATTGAATGAAGGTGATCAGCATGAACCAGCGAACCTTCTGACAAAGTTTCATGTTCGAGATGGGGAATCCCAAGGTAATGTATATTGTTTCGATAAATCATGAATCTGGGGCTGGCCTGCATTTCCGACTTACATAGTAAACCCACATTGTACCCTCCCATTCAATTTCTTATAATGAAGTATAGGTTCTTTTATAATACAAAGTTGATCAACATGTCCAAGAGCATCTTGTGTGAAAGTTTCACGATCGAGGTGGGTAATCCCATAATCAAGATTTCACTTACGTGTTCAAGGAGGCGTCTCACTTAAATTTCCACCTCTTCCACTCCCACCTTATTTCTTCTTCCTCCCCATTCTCAACTGTTGCCCCATTCAAGTGTACAACTACCACCTGCAAACGATCGTTCTACTTCAACCCACCATGTCATTGCTACACTTGGCCTGATCCGATTGTCGTCAACTGAATGGCAAGTCCATGGCGCGTGCACCCCATTATAACACACGACCCTCATTGACACTGCACCTTCTCTTGTATACTCGTCTACCACGGTCAATGGCAACAGCATTCATTCCAGCAATTGCTGCTAGCAAGGGCTTTACTCCATTGTCTCAAGCAGCGTTCTTTACTTGCAGCAACTTGCCTTACAGCCTTTGTTACGTGCCACAGCAGATAGCGATCATGTAGAAGCAGCTTTATTTACGTGTAGCAACGTGCTTCAATACATACGGATCCTTATGGATGATGCTATATCAACCATCAACTATTACTGCCAATACATGCATTCTTGATTTGATTGAGTTGCGATAGAAAATGACCACGAAAGAGATTAATCAACAGCCGGATGGAAAGGGAAGCGACCACAGGGGTTCTTTGTATCAACATGTTGGAGTTGCAATGATTATGGATGGATGGGTGGATGGGTGCAATCAAGCAAAGTAATAGGGGATTGTCATGTCGTTTTGTTTACTTGACACGTCGCCATCAGGAAGGATGGATCATGTTACGTGGATACGGGTGAGGATGATGATGGATTGGATGGCATGGATGAGAGGGCTTATATCTTTGACGAAGGTGGTTTGTTACCAATGGATGGTATTGGGTATTGGAGTCAAGGCACGCACAGCAAAGAGTTTGCAATCATGGACGAAGATGTTTATGGCGGCAGCAACCAAGGATACAATGACACAATGGTGCCCACCGATCCTATGTGACCCACTTGATTGGTTTCCGGAATGAAAGGGAGGATAGAACCATGAAGATTGGAAAACGAGATTAGGTCATATACATCATTGCATCGAGGCACCTTTGTTGCTTTCATCACACCACATTCTTTAGAGCTTCCTTGTTCATATGCCGATATACGATAGGCGGTGGTAATTCTCAGGATAGTGCACAGGTTTTAAATAGACGCTTGTACTTTCAAGGATAATAAACCTATATTAAATGACACCTGACAATAGTGCATGTTACAGAAATTTGGTCCATTGAAAGCTGAAGTCATTACATTTAAGAAAGAGTGAGCTCTGATACAATGTGATATGGCTGGGTACATGCATACGCATCTTACGACAGCTTTCATATCTTGTACCTATACTCTTATATGATTACGATCCCCTGGAGACAAACAATACCATCCCTCTCTCGCCCTTTCGCACGAATACTATCAGATGCACTGATTAGTTTTGACTTGTTCACCATACCATGGTTCCATACGGTGTTCATAGGCGGATCTTACTATAGGGGCAGGGACCATTATGCAATGTCAACCAATAAGGTTGACTCTTGAAGTCCCGCCCCTCCCGGGTTAATTGCACAACAACTCCTTCTGCATCTTTTGCTCTGTCTAGGTCTAGCTACTTTACATTAAACAAAGACCTCTTTTCATATAGCATCACGCTTACAACATAAAGGTGCCTGTATCTCCAAACTTTACAATGAAAGGTGGGGTTTTGAATAGAGCAATGTGCTCGGCTTTGCCAACTGCACCTTGTGTGAAAGTTTCGCGTTCAATGTCGCAAACAGCCCAAAAAATATTTTTTTGGTCGTCGAACCCCAGATCCAGTTTGGCTGCTAGCGACATCGCGAATTCTGGGATTGGCAAGCTTGATCGTGAAACTTTCGCCCAAGGTGCAGTTGGCCAAGCCGAGCACGTTGCTCTATTAAAGACCCCACGTTTGATTGTAAAGTTCGGAAATACAGACACCTTTATGTTTGTAAACGTGATGCTATATGAGAAGTGGTCTTTGTTCATTGTCAAGTAGCTAGATCCTGGAGAGCCAAAGATGCAGAAGGACCTCTTTAGGTAACTCAGCTAAAAAGTCAGGACTTCAGGGACAATGCATGAAAGGTACACAACCCTCACTTTTATGTCATACATTGGCAGCTAATAGCCACTTTTGTGCATTCCCAACTTTTGTGCATTCTATTGTAGGTGGACGATGCTCCTGCTCTAGACATTCATTTCCATGATTAAAGTAGGTTGATCCGAGCTGATTTGACTGAGCTGCGGTCAAAGAGAGATTACATCACTCTGGACATACAGCACGCTCGATGTAGCTCAACCGATGTAATCTTGTGTGAGCGTAACTCCACCAAATCAGCTCGGATCAACCTACTTTAATCATGGAAATGAATGTCTAGAGCAGGAGCATCGTCCACCTACAATATAATGCACAAAAGTTGGAGATGCACAAAAGTGGCTATTAGCTGCCAATGTATGACATAAAAGTGAGGGTTGCGTACCTGTCATGCATCGTCCCTGAGGTCCGGACTTTTTAGCTCAGCTACACAAAGAGGTCCTTCTGCATCTTTGGCTCTCCAGGGTCTAGCTACTTGACAATGAACAAAGACCACTTCTCATATAGCATCACGCTTACAAACATAAAGGTGCCTGTATCTCCAAACTTTACAATGAAACGTGGGGTTTTGAATAGAGCAATGGGCTCGGCTTGGCCAACTGCACCTTGTGTGAAAGTTTCACGTTCAATGTCGCAACCATCCCAAAAAATATTTTTTTGGTCGTCGTCGAAGAGGTCGAACCCCAGATCCAGTTTGGCTGGTGGCGACATTGCGAAATCTGGGATTGGCCAGGATGAACTTGAAACTTACACCCAAGGTGCAGTTGGCCAAGCCGAGCACATTGCTCTATTCAAAACCCCACGTTTCATTGTAAAGTTTGGAGATACAGGAACCTTAATGTTTTACATATGCTGACGCTGTAAGCGTGATGCTATATGAAAAGAGGTTTTTGTTCATTGTCAAGTAGTACGACTATTGAGCCAAAGATGCAGAGGGGCGTGTTTGTGTAACTTGAGTCAGTCAGCACAGGCGATGCATAATACTTGTACACTTTTCAGTAACAGCTCATAATTGCCAGCTAGCAGCCCATTCCTCTCAATCATCTTTGTTTCCCAATCCAATGCATGTGAGCGATTCTCCTGCTCCAGCCCAGCATGCCCATTCCTTCAACTTCCTTGATCCGAGGGGATTTGACTGAACAACGCTCAAACACAAAACATCATCCAATTTCACAAAAATCTTTTTGCAAAGTTATTTGTAAACTGCCACTTGATAGCCCATCCCTCCCATTCATCTTTGTTGCCTAATACAATGCATGTGAACGGTTCTTCTGCTCCAGCCCAGCATGCCCATCCTTTAACTTTCTTGATCCGAGAGGATTTGACTGAACAACACTCAAACAAAGAAATGACATTGAAGATTAGTTCAACCAATTTTAATTTCCACCTCTTCCACTCCCACTTCATCTTCTCTTCCTCCCATTCTCAACTGTTGGTCCATTGAAGTATACAACTGCCACCTGCGAACGATTGTCCTGCTTCAACCCATCATGGCAATCCTACAACACTCTTGATCCGATTGCCTTTGACTGAATGGCAAGCCCATGGCGTGTACGCAGCCTTCTTGTCACTCTTCCACAACACACGAATCTCTTGACACAATGCACACTCTTGCACTCCCCACTACTATGATCAAAGGCAACAGCATTCATTCCATCAGTTGCTATTAGCAACGCGTTCACTCCATTCTCTCAAACAGCATTCACAACCTTGTCACTCTACTACAAGACGCGCTCTTGCACACACACCTCTGCCACGACCAAGGCAACAGTAGTTACCATTAGCAAGGTCTCTACTCCATTGTCTCTTGCCTCAAGTTACTTACAGCAGCCTGCCTTGCAGCCCTTTTCACTTGAACAGCAGCAGCGCACTAGTAGACACATACATCTTTATCTACGTGTAGCAACTTGTTTTAATACAAACGAATTCCTATGGATACGGATCTGAATATTGCTTTGGTGCATGGGATGGAAGGATCTGAATGTATATAACGCGTGGGAAAGAGAGTCTTGTTCTTATGTATCCATTGTCAACTTGATCATTATGCTTAATGTCGTCATCCTGAAGGAGTGTTGCATCCGATTATCACAATTCCATGGTAACTATTATCAATATCCCTTTGTGCAACCTGTCAACCATCTACTACCACCATCCTCCAACTCAATGCTTTGTCCCATCATGCACTCATATCGCCATCTCATTTCCACCCATTTACCTTTGCACAGTACACGCCCAAAGGATAGAACCTTTCCAAATGACTCAGATACCATAACAGCGTCTTATCAATGAGAATAAACTATGAATGACCACATGTATTAGTTCTAATCCGTAGGGTTTCATGAACGGGATGTGCACATAAAACGAGGGCATTTTACGGCACAAGCAATCATAAAATAGCGAAGAGATGTGTGGAGTAGGATGAATGACAACATGCCTTTTCATGTGTAGGGTGAGCGTGTGAGCACAAAGAAAGAGTGATAAAAGGAGGATGATCTCCATGATAAAGAGAGATGTCATTGTCAAGCTCCCTCTTGGACCCATTATAGTGGTATATTGTAATTAACAATGAACCAATCCCAAGATATCAGCCATCAAACCTCGCTGCATTAGCAACATAATGTACATAGTGAAACTCGTCTTTATGGTGGGAAAACTTGTCGAACATTGATGTTAATTCGTGAAGTCTTTAGAAATTCGCTATATAACTCCCAGTCATCATCCTCGTCGGTATCAGGTAGTGGTGCTGACAAGTACTCTGGTAATGTGTCTTCTATTATCCGTGGTACTCCTATGATATGAAGGTGTTGATAACGATATAGATAAAGCTATGAACGACTTACCATGGAAGAATTTACGACAAGGCTTTGTCATGACAACAATATCACCGCTGTGCAATGCAAGCGGCACAGGCTCTGTATCTTGGGTAGTGCCACCAATAACATAAATACAAGAATTGCCAAGGCTAGAGAACTCATGAATAAAGGTGCCATCCACGATAACCAAATGTGCGCCTGCTTACCTGACAGAGATAAGGGGTGCATCCATATTCAATTCGCTTCTATCCACATGACCCATCAAAGCATCCCGATATTGATAATAGTTGACCACGCCAGCTTCAGCCTTAAAGTCTTCACCACGATAGGTGTTCTTCCAAACACCTTCTTGTCCAACGCCATCAACAGCATAGGCTATAGCCGATGTGAGCTGATCAACCAACTTTGGCATTGGATATCGTTTGTCGAAATGATAGGTCTTGGTGGGCCAATGATACTGATAACCAAGAGTGACCCAACGCATACGATGCATTAATTCGAAAGGTCGTAATAATGGCATGGAGTCGACAGGTGGTGGATCATGTTTTTCCGAGTCGTTGGTCTCAAGTTGCCATTCATGCATGGTTTTTCGTGGAACCACAAAAGATGGATCAAGCTGGCCACGATGTTCTTTCTCGCACAATGGCCAAAGACCTTCGTCAGGGATAGCGTAATGTGTATCAAGGTTGGATGTGTTGGGTGGTCGAGTGTACAACGAAAGGCATTCACGAATCAATTGCCGCTGTCCTTTGTGAGAGAATGGATTTGGGATAATCACGAGACCTACAAACATTCAAGGAGTCAATGATCACCCATTCAAGACAAGAAACAAAGGAACGCCTACCTGGTATGTCATGTAATACATATGCTCGAGAGGGTGTCTTTTGTTCGAAAAGTGGGAAAGAGAGATCACAAGCCAAATCTACTTGGAGAGCTTTGTCGTGATTGGGATGCTGGTGTAAATCGATGACCTTGGAGTAATCGGGAGGGGGAACTCTTGACTTGAAGTTACGTTCAACATAACGAAAAGGGGACTGATTCACATATGTTTTTGTATCCTGCTTCAGTTGAGCAGCCTTAAGTTGTTGACGTTCAAGGATTTTACGTTGACGACGAGAAGACATTAATTCATCTTTATTGGCTAGGCTGGGCTGCATTTCTAAAATCGTAGTTGTAGAAAGCAAACTTCAGAATCAATGCAAAGCCGGCATGAGCACCAAGGATCGCCAATAAAAGTATACGTGAAGTCTTTGCATCCGTTTTTGATATAACAATGTACAAGTTCTTGACAAGGAAATAGCCTATGTAGTACCTCTGTTATCTACCCATCCTTTCATAGTTCCTTATTGTCACTTACCAGTCAACAATGCAGCCACCCCAACAAAGACCCATCGTGCAATATCAAATGGCATCACACATAAAACCTACCATGATGGTATTAGATGACACATACCAAAACTCCCTTCGGTGGGTATTGTATCCTTACTGAAACGGGGATCCACACTGTTAAGCCGTAACCATAATAATTGACGATCTCCAAAAGACTTGGTTGACAACCAAAGTACTTTGTAGCCAACCAAACCAAAGCAGGGCATAGGAATCCGTAAGAGTATACGACGCCAACAGCATAGCTGAGTAATCGAAAATCGCTTTGGTGTGGGACATCTGCGATATAGGCTGCCAAGGAACCGGCTAATGAGGAGCATACGAACATGGCAAATACTACTGTTGTCGCGATCCAGAATGGTCCATAGAGATCAGGTTGATTGTTCAATGTGTCCGATGCAAAATCGCCAACAGGATACAAGGTCTTTAGGCACCTTTCAATCACCTAATGTTTAAAGGTCAAACCAATCAACATGTGCCTGCAATCGTTTCATCCATCGAGATCATACCTGTGAAGTGTCCACATCGAAATATTGTGAATAATAGTCTAATGACCAAATTGCCTTGTTTGATCCACTACGTCGTGATTCTTGCGTATCAAAGAAATTGGTTGTGCTTGAAGCAGCTGGTGGTGGTGGAGGAGGTGCTACACACACACATACACAACAATGAGTTATAGTCGACAACACCCTTGAAAGATATCCATCATCAGCCCTTCTCCTTCCTTACCTGATCCATGTTGCCCTGTGTTGCTTGAAAAGTCTATGGCGATGTATATAGAGTCAAAAGCTGTTGAGGTGGAGAAGAGAAAGTCTCCCTTTGGATATACCTTGGAACTCGAGTCCATCGCTTTCGATCGTTGCTGGCTGAAGGGGCGAGTACAATGCACTGGTGAGTTATGAATAGAAGGTATGTATCACGTTGAATGGGGAAGTTTTATTACCTGGGTATAGCCACCCTCGTCCATGTCGACGAGGACATTGTATTGATTCTTGTTGCTCATGGTTTGCCAAGCGGTGTGTGGTGGTGGTGCGGAAAGACAAGTTGTCGTGATTGTAACCTACAACTATTTAAGGCAATGACGTACAGGATCTGAGCCAACACGTTGGCCTTTAGCAGCTCCATATACACACGCTTACTTGCACCGTTCTTTCTCTTCCCCCCACTGAATGCCAACATTGGCGCCACGTATTCTTAGTCTATTGAATCGTAGGTGCTCATCCTTGAATTTGTAAGTTTGGCTTGCACCGATCGCGTGGTTATCCTGATCACTCTTCTTCTTCTTCCTCTTCTTTTTTTCTCCGTTCTGGTTCTTTTAGCCATCTCCACTTGACTCGAACGAACACGACTTTTATTAGCACTACTCCAGCGCATCGTCAACAACCACTCACTACTACTACAAAGCGCTTCACTTTTATACGATCAGTATCCACTATGCCAGGCGCAACAACAACAACAGCCGAATCACCTTCAGACTGGTCACTCTCCAGCAACGGCAAATATTGGACCTTCACTCGTCCTCTTGAGCAGTCGGATAATGATGATAGAAAGTATCGACTCATCAAGCTTGCCAGCAATGATTTGCAAGTGCTACTGATTCATGATGCGGATACGGACAAATCCAGTGCAGCACTTGATGTTCATGTGGGCCACCTTAGTGATCCAGTAAGTTTTTGTGTTCTTGGATGGATGGGTGGGTGGGGGAGGGGAGGGGGAGGAATGAACCTTATAGGAAGGCAATGATGTAATAGAAGCTCGGAGCACAAGGACAAAGGGTAACATGTGTGTAGTACACCAAGAACTCATGGCTCTCAGCAATACGTAACTG